TCAGCTGTGCATGTTGAGTGAGATTGATCCCAGTATCTGAGTAATGTTTGGATTTGTTTTTAGGGTGTTAAAAGATGCTTTGTTGCAACTTAATTCTCTCCCCACACAATTTTTAAATAGAAAGTTACGCAAACCTGTGGGTAGTGATGGGAGCAGAGATGGTGGCAGCTGGTCTTCCTCTGACAAAGCCAATAAAGGAGACAAGAGTTTGGAACCTACATCCTTTATCAACAATTTCTTTGGCATGTTCTTCCGCAGGAGGTGTGTATGCTGCACCTGGAGGGTGTGAGTGTTTGTTTGTAATGGTAGTGTATGAGCAGCTGAGCATTCTGAAAATTAAACAGAATATTTAAGTACCAGTCACACATCCCCAAACTGCATAAGTTACCGCTGTTCTCTAGCAAAATCCAAGTAGTGCTGTTGGAGGAAGTCTTTTTTTTTATCAGGAGTCCATATGCTTGGTACCTTATTTTAGGCACACAATTGCAGACAGTGCTAGGGATTCTCTAGTCTGAGTGATCCTCCTAAGCATATGTACCCAACTCCCCTATAGGTCCCATGTTTAGTTACGTTGCTTTGGTCAGTTCAGAGTTCATTTACCCTTTTTGTTAAATTCTTTTAAGTGTTGATGAGGTTAAGACATAATAAAAAACAGGGAAAAGGAGGATGCACTATTTAGGTTAGTACCTTCTATCTCCTCTTCCCACTGAATGGCTCATTTAGCCATACACTTAAACTTGGCTGATTGTTGACCTCATCATCTAGGGTAGGAGGAAATTCAATAGAAACAAATGCAAAAAAGTCCACTTAGTAAGGAACAATTAGTTGCACAAATATAAAATGAGAAATGATTACTTAGGAAGGAATACAGTGGAAAGGCATCTGGGGGTCATAATGGACTTCAAGCAAAATATAAGTCAGCAGTGTAACAATCTCATTTTGGGACATATTGCAAGAGGATTGTAAGTGAGAAGTAATTCTAGTTTACTCCATGCTATTTAATTAGGCCAAACTTGGAGTATTGTGGCCTGTTCTGGGTGCCTCATTTCAGGAAAGATGTGGACTAACTGGAAAAAGTTTAGAGAAGAGCAATGAAAATTATTAAAGGTATAGAAAACATGACCTATGAGGGAAAATTGAAAGAATAGGGATACTTTTGTCTGGAAAAGAAGACTGAGGGGGGACATAAGTTTAAGTACCTGAACAGTTGTTACAAGGAGGAGGAGGGAGACAAACTATTCTCCTTCACATCTGATGATAGGAAAAGAAGCAGTGGACTTAAATTGTAGTAACAGAGGCTTAGTTTGTACATTAGGAAAAACTTGCTAAATATCCGAGTAGTTAAGTACTGGAATAAATTATCTAGGGAGGTTGTGGAATCTCCAGCAGGGAGAGCTGTCAGGGATGATCGAGATGGGTGCTTGGCCCTCCCATGAGTGCAGGGGGCTGGCCTTGGTTACCTCTCGAGTTCCCTTCCTGTTCTCAATCTATGATTTTTGTCACTATTTGAAATGTATCTAAAACTTTCTCCTTTAATTACATTTTAAATGAATTACTCCTGAATCCTGCCTTTCCCCTAGGTTTAGAATCTTTAGGACACTGGGCTGGATAACAAAAGAGCTGGCATTTGAAAATGGGAGAGCTTTATGTTTCCTATAAAGCAGGGTCGTGAAGTGCCTGAAATAGAAAGAATTCTGTAGCTTTTCAGCTATCATTTAATGCTGCGCCAGGCAGGCAAGTGAAAGTAAGTTGACATTTTCCTGTCAAGAGCTTTGCTCTGAAGTCAGAACTATTCTGTTGCATTTTGATTCCCTAGGTTAAGGAGGGTGAAATTGGTAGCAGATAAAGGGACTGAAACTGAAGGTGGTGTGAGCTCTGTCTATAGTGACACCAAGCATGGACTGCCCAGATCTGAATATAGGCTGTTGCATTTCAAAGAGAAAGAGACACTTTCAGATGGGCCAAAAAGTCATCAGGTAAGATTTTGAGTGCTTATTACAAAATACCTCTCTGCATTTATTCTTCAGTCATATGACTGGCTAGGCGCTAGCACCTTAATGTCAGATGTAAATATAAACTCAATAGAGTTTACAATAGAACACAAACGCGATTAACACAGAAACCCATGGGAAGAGTAAAGCAGGCCTCTGTACTGAAATGCATATTTATTTGGCTGATCTTCAATTCAAAGGTTGGTCGATTATCGACATTCAAAATTCTCCCATGTAAAAATCTACCTTGCAAACAATTCAGTTCATTTTTATTCTGTTGGAAGATAATTCAGATTCACCTGATGGAATTTTTGGACGTAAACTTAAAAAAAAATCAGTCTTTCATTTGTGCAAGCATTAAAATTAAGGCTTTGGGACTGGTGTGAGTCACTTAGACAAGAACATGTGATGCAGACAGCATTGTTCCCAAAGTGTCTAATTCCTGAAGGAGGTATTCAGGAGGGCTAATGGGTGCACAGCTTTCATAACAAACTAGTCATGTCTTGTGTGCCCAGGTTACACAAAGACGTGTGGATGTTGCTGGCCTTTAAGGCACCAAGCTTTGGGGAGAATCAGGAATTATCTCCTTTAGCTGCTGGAGAGATTGGATGGTTTCTCCGCTGCTTTCCACAGCTGGCCCATAAGTTGCAGAACTTGTGATTCTTTGACTCCTTGTTATACTTGTGCATGTAGTTGTATTGCAATTAGTATCTAGGATACACACTGTTGCTAACCACAGTACTCCTGCTTGATACAGATCTGCTTAGTTTTATTAGCCCCACTTTCTAGTTTATTTAATTGGCTGCTTTTCTTTCAGGATGGTTGCACACAGATTGGCACCATTTCTGATGAGCTGTCAAGTGAGGAGGACACGGAAGCCATGGCACAGAGGATTTTGTTACGCAGAAGTGTAGAAGGGGCATCCAGCGACAATAGCTATGAAGGCAAGAATAGGAGACCTCTTATTTCTTCAGACCAGTCAGTTTTGCAGGTAGTCCTGTTGGGTCTTTGTAAAATTCCATAAAACTTACTGTTACTGGCATTCAATTTACTTTTTCTTTTTTATTTATGGAAGGTCAATCAAGCCATTAAAGGTACCAGAGAGTCTGATAGTGTGGCAGAATCTGAACTAGACTCAACAGCCTTTAGTCAGGTAAGTGTTCTAAAACACCAGAGACCTTTGCATCATCATTTAAGGGGACAGAGTGGTACATCTATTCTTTTTGGGTTTTTATATGGTGCTCATCACCATAGTACTCCGTGCCTTCCAGGAGTGTATTGAGCATGGAACTACAGGCTGGACCTTCCTGGTCCAGCACTCTCGGGACGTGAGTGGTCCCGAACCAGGGAATTTGCCAGACAAGGAGAGGTCAAGACTCTCCTCACGGCTGTCAGTCCCTCTGATGTGCCAGTCCCAGCCTCTGGGCTCTGCTCCCAGCCCTGGCCATGTGGATGTACTCCCAGCCCTGGCCTGGGCTATGCTCTCTGCTCTGCTGGCTTAGGCTGCCACTGGCCCAGCAGGGGCTCCGGGTCATAGGACCTGTTGCTGCCGGCCAGGGCTTTGCTGCTGGCTTTGGGTGCCCCTGCTCCCAGCCAGGTTCTCTGGTCCAGCAATATCTGTGGTCCTATCAGACCAGACTGCTGGATTTCAGAGGTTCAATCTGTATCTATAGTTCACTAGATCTTTTATCCTTTCCTCATGGGGATAAATATGTGCAGTGACTTGTTTTGGTACTTTTTTGTTAAATATACCCACTGTTGTGTGTTGGAGCAGAAAGTGATGAATTTTTTGATGGTCCTTAGCTCCAAGGAGCTAGTTTCATAGTCTCAGACCAGTTTGAGTAGGTTCTGTGTTCCACAAATGCATCTCACAGTTCCAGAGGAGCAAATGTGTTGATCAGTCTTCATTCTAGAGCTTTAAGCAGCCTACTAGGAATCCTGGACTGTTAGTCAATGCTTCCTTGGTTTTCTACTGATCCATTTCCCTGTTAATACTCTTATACAGTCCTGTGTTATGGTCAGATACAAAAAAATCTCAATTCTAAGAGCTTCTCCATGCTTGTGGATCATAATAGATGTGTATGAGATTTGTTCCCAATGCCAAGCACTTGTATTTGATGCCATTGTCTATTGCTTGCGAAGTCTGGAAGGCATAGTGGTTGCTGCAAGACAGGAAGGCTACAGGTGTCTCAGACAACTGGCTAATAATAATTCAGCATTACCAGCAGGCAGGAGAGGCCACGACTGCCGACTATGTAGTCTTTCCAGGTTGGAAAAACTTAGATGAAAATTGTGTCCTCCAGCTAATAGCTGAGTTTTTAGAGCATTGTACCTGACACACCATTAACAAAAACTCTTAACTTCTTTTCAGTGCTCTGAATTTTGAACTTTTATTCAATTTATGAAATTCTACTGGCATCAGCATATGCGCATATGCTCAGAGGCCTCTGATCACTGTTCATTAGAGACTTGGCTGTTGGCAGGATAAGATTGCACTGGACTAAACATCAGGCACTCTAAAAATTAATTCTGTTTTTCAAAGAAATCAGGAAAAATCTCGACTCTAGCTATATAAATGCTCACTAAACTCTGTCCCACAATGAAGGCAAAACTACTAATGTATTATAAATTCTGGTTCCATTTTCTTGGTCTTCAGAGTTTTCATGAAATTGAAGGTGAGAACATTAATAGCTTGTTGATGTTTTTGCAACAAACTCACAGCCCTTTGTAGAAATGGTCCTTTCTGTTCTGAGGTTGGCTTGGCTTGACCGTGTGGTTGTGATCTGAACTTGAAGACTGAAAGCTGATTTTTGGTGACTGAAGGTTCAGTATTCTATAGATATTCTATTATATATCAGTATGGAGAAGTTACTTGTGTAAAACTTCCTTTTTCTTTAAAGGAATCAAGGTCTTGTTTTAGCAGTGGGTCCCGGAGCTGCAGCGTATCTCGGAGAGACTCTGAAAGCACCCGCCATGACTCCGAGACAGAGGATATGCTCTGGGATGACCTTCTGCATGGGCCAGAGTGCCGTTCTTCCTACACCAGTGACAGCGAGGAAGGGAATGTAAAAGGAAGTAAACGGGACTTGAAAGAGGATGTTTTCCAACAGGTCTGTTCAACTACTTGTAATAAATGAGACACCCGTGAAATATTTTTCTTTCGATATAACTTGTACCCATCTAAGAATGTAAAAACAAACGAGGGAAGTGTTGGATAGGATGCAGGAATGATCTGGTGCATAGACTTGACCTTTGGGATTCTAGTTAGCAAAAGTACCCTGAGGGAAATAGCGTGGAAGTTCAGGACCCCAGCTACAGCAATTCTTGCTGTGAAAGCATCAATGTAGCCTGTAAAACTTAGATGGGAAGATACTTTGTTGTTTTGTTATTTATATCCTCCTAGTTCAAGAGAATGTATATGAATCATAACTTCTCACTTGTTGAATCTAATTTTTCCGTCTTCAGTATTCCTGTACTATCGCTTTGGGTGCTATTACTACACCTAATAGAGTGATTGTGAAATGTGCAAGTAGATAGAAGCCATAAAAAACCCTCAGTAATAATAATATTGACTGGGTATGTTACCTCAGGGTGGGATGCAGAGAAAGCTTCTTGTCACCTTATATGACTGCTTCTTGGAGCAGCTGATCTTGGAATCCACAAGATCAGAGGCAATTATTGACTCAGTCATAAGTGAAACACAGGATCTGGTCCAAGATGAGACTATACCTGGGATGCTTGGTAATAGTGACAACAACATAAACTTAACATCCAGCAGGGAACACCACAGTAGTATTTAATTTAAGAAAGGGGAACAACACAAATTAGGAAGTTAAATTAAAAGATAGTGTCCAAAGTGAAATCCTTGCAAACTTCATGGAGGGGGTCGGGATATGGGAGGGTGTTTGGGAGGAAGAGGGGGTTGTGATGTGGGTCAGAAGACTGGGGTGCAGGGTCCAGGAAAAGATAATGGGTGCAGAAGGGCATTCTGACCTGGGGAACAGGTGTGGGAGGGGTGCAGGGTCTGTGAGGGGGTTGTGACACAGGGCAGGAGGCATTGACAACTGGGAATAGGGGATGGGGTGCAAGACCTGGGCAGAGGTTGTGACCTCAAGGAGGGGGTGCAGGGTCTGGGAGGACGAATGGGTAAAAGAACAAGGGAGCAGAGTTTGGGTTGTGGGGGGACAGAAGGTTGGGTAGGAAGTTAGGGTGCCAGAGGCAGCCTCTGGCCAAGAGGCACTTACCTGGGCTGTTCCCAGCCAGCAGCCCTGCCCAGCGGGTTCCTCAGGCAGGTGGGGGCTCTCTGTGCCTTTCTAAATGCTGTGAGCACTTCATGTGCTGCCTGTCCTGCAAATAGACAGCTCCCATTGGCTGGAAACCGGCCAGTGGGCACTGCAAGATTATGCTGGGGGTGGGGGCAGCATACAAAACCTCTCCTTCCCTCTCAGCTCCTGCCCAGCTCACAGGGTTCAGAGAACTGTTCTGAGCATCATGTGGGGGCAGGGCAGGCAGGAAGCTCCCACTGCACCCAAGGGCTGGATGCACCTCTTGGCAAGCTCTGTCTAGCTCCCAGGCCATATTTTGTCCACTCTTGTAATAGAAGCTCAATTTAAATGTATACCCCAAATTAAAAAAAGACCAAAAAGGGTACCCTGGGTAAACTACGAGAAGCAATGAGAGGTAAAAAGGCATTCTTTAAAAAGTGGAAGTGATATCCTACTGTGGAAAATAGGCAGGAAGCCTGCTAAACACCCAGTGGGGCAACTGGCTGCTTGAGCTGATAAAGGAGCACTTGAGGACTAAATGACTTTTTTGCATTGGTCTTAATGGCAGAGGAGGAGAAGAAAATTCCTAAATATGAGCCATTCTTGTTAGGTTATAAATCTGGGGAACTCTCTCAGATTGAGGTTCTGTTAGGGGAGGTTTTAGAACGATAAACAAAACAAAGTTACCCGAACCAGAGGATATGAACACCCATGTGAAACTGCACAGCTAACAACTGCAGTTTGTAACTTACCATTTAAATCCCCTTCTGTACCAGATATCTGGAGAATAGCTAATGGGATGGCAATTTTTTGAAAGGCTCCAGTTACAGGCCAGTAAGCCTAACTTCCATACCAGGCAACTTGGTTGAAACTATCAGATTTATCAGACATAGATGGACATAATTTGTTGGGAAAAAGTAAATGTTTTTGTAAGGGAAAAATCGATGCATTACCAGCCTAGAGGAATTCTTTGAGGGGTCAACAAGCAGGTAGGTGGATAGTGTTCTTGGGACTCACAGAAACCTTTTGACAAGGCCCCTTACCAAGGGCTCTTAAGCAAAGTAAGCTGCCATGGCATAAGAGGGAATGTTCACTCATGGATCACTATCTGGTTAAAAGGAAATAAAAAGTAAAAATAAATTGTCAATTTTCAGAATAGAGAGAGAAATAGTTCCCCCAGGAATCTGTTCTGAGTCCAGCGCTTTGCAACGTATTCCTGAATGATCTGGAAAAAGGGGTAAACCGTGAGGTGGCAAACAGGCTGATACAAACCTATAAATAATGGACAAATTTCCACCACTCTATACCCTATGATCTGGAAAAAGGGGTAAACCGTGAGGTGGCAAACAGGCTGATACAAACCTAAAAATAATGGACAAATTTCCACCACTCTATACCCTCGGAAACCCTCTGACAGCTACACTTACCTTCATGCCTCCAGCTTCCATCCCAGACACGTTTCTCAATCTGTTGGTTACAGCCAAGCCCTAAGATACAACTGGATTTGCTCCGATCCCACAGAAGAGACAAACACCTACAGGATCTTTATAGAGCATTCCTAAAACAAATATCCACCGGGAGAACTGAAAAAACAGGTTGACAGAGCCAAAAAAGTACCCAGACACGAACTACTTCAAGACAGACCCAAAAGAGAAAACAGAATTCCACTTGTCATTACTTACAGTCCACAACTCAAACCCCTCCAATGCATTATACACAATCTGCAACACATCTGAGGCCTTGGGGCAGGGGGAAGCCTATTCTTGCTTACAGACACCCCCCCCAACCTGAAATGAATTCTTTCCTGTCACCATGCTACACAACCATATCATAAGCATCCAGGAACCCAACCCTGCAATCAGCCATGGTGTCAACTCTGCCCATGTATATATACATGCAAACTCATCATTGGAACCAACAACATAAGCTACCAAATCAAAGGCTCATTTAACTGTTCATCCAGTAATTTGATCTATGTCATCAAATGCCAGCAATGCCCCACTGATTGATTGATTGATAGATAGGAGAAATGAGACAGTCCCTATGGGAAAGAATCAATGGACACAAATCAGATATACGTAAAGGGAACATACAGAAATCTGTTGGTCAACACTTCCATCTACCTAATCAGTCTTTAAAAGATCTACAGGTGGCTGTCTTGTCACAAACTAATTCTACAAGCCAAATACACAGAGAGGTGTTGGAATCACAATTCATCCGCAAATTCAATTCTCACACTGATTACCTCCTCAATCGAGATAACAGATGGCTGGAACATTATCAACCTAACATTTAATGAAGATGCCAACAGCTCTTTGTGTGTGTAGAAAGGGTTCTAACACAATCTATCTAATTACTATCCTGTGATCCTTATCTGCTTCTTTTAACTATCCAATCTTTAGGTGCTTATAGGTTACCAGTTCTGCCTACATGATTTTCCCTTTGATATTTTCATACCCTCTGCTTCTTGTTTCCTTCCCCCCTCTTCTTTCTTCCCTATTTATTTTGGGTCTGCAGATCCTAAACTCATAAGTCTAGTCATCTGAAGAAGTGGGCTGTGTCCATGAAAGCTACATGGACACACAATCCCATCTACATGTTTTGTTAGTCTATAAAGTGTTACCAGATGATTTGTTGGTTTTTAAGTTTATCCTGTACAGATTAACTCAGCTCCCCCCAAAGCTTACAAAGTTAAGCCCAAAGCAGATTGAGAGTTAATGGGATCTCATAAAACTGTGAGACTGGGTAACAAAATGGCAGATGAAATGCAATGTTGATAAATGCAAAGTGAAGCACATGGGAAGACAATCCCAACTATAAATATACAGTCAGAGGCTACGTCTAGACTGGCCCCTAATTCCGGAAAAGTCATGCAAAGCAGGTAAGTCAGAAAAGGGAAATCTGCAGGGGATTTAAATATCCCCCGCGGGATTTAAATAAACATGTCCGCCGCTTTTTTCCCAGGCTCGGGGAAAAGCCGGAAAAAAGCGTCTAGAATGGCGCGATCCTCCGGAATAAAGCCCTTTTCCAGAGGATCTCTTATTCCTACTTGAAAGTAGGAATAAGAGATCCTCTGGAAAAGGGCTTTATTCCGGAGGATCGCGCCATTCTAGACGCTTTTTTCCGGCTTTTCCCCGAGCCGGGAAAAAAGCGGCAGACATGTTTCTTTAAATCCCCCGCGGATTTCCCTATTCTGACTTACCTGCTTTGCATGACTTTTCCGGAATTAGGGGCCAGTCTAGACGTAGCCCTAGGGTAGAAATTCACTCAAGAAAGATCTTAGTCATTATGGAGATCTCTGAAAACATCCATTCCATTGTGTCCTGTTCTGGGCACCTCATTTCAAAAAAGATGAGGAGAAATTGGAGGAGGTCCAGAGAAGAGCAACAAGAATGATTAAAGGTTGAAGAGAACATGACCTATGAAGGAAGACTGAAAGAATTGGGCTTGTTTGGTGTGGAAAGGAGAAGACTGAGAGGGGCGTGATAGTGTTTTTCAGATATCTAAAAGGGTGCACAAGGAGGAGGCAGAAAAATTATTCTCCTTGGCCTCTGAGGATAGGACAAGAAGCAATGGGCTTAAACTGCAGCAAGGGAGATTTAGGTTGGACATTAGGAAAAACTTCCTACCTGCCAGGGTGGTTAAACACTGGAATAAGTTTCCTAGCGAGGCTGTGGAATCTCCATCTCTGGAGATATTTCAAAGCAGGTTGGATAGACATTATCAGGGTTGGTCTAGACAGTACTAGATAGATGGTCTCTTCCAGTTCTAGTGTTCTATGATTCTATATGCAGCAGCATTGAAAAAAGCTAGCAGTGATGGGAATCATTCAGAAAGGGTTATGAATAAGATAGAAAATACCATATTGCCCCTATATCAGTGCATGTTACTCCCAGACCTGGAATACTGCATGCGAAACTTGTCACCCCATCTCAAAGATATATTGGGATTGGAAAAGTGTTCAGAAAAGGGCGAAAAATGGCAAGGGAGTGTAGAACAGCTTCCATATGAGGAGAGATTAGTAAGACTCGGACTTTTCAGTTTGGAAAAGATGACCAGGGCAGGGGGATATGAGAGCATTAATAAAAATCATGACTGGTGTGGAGAAAGTAGATAAGTGCTATTTATTCCTTCTCATAAAAGAAAAAAGTCTCCAAATGAAATTAATAGGCAGCAGGTTTAAAAAAGCAAGAATTTGTTCACACCATGCACAGTCCTGTGGAACTCTGCGCCAGAGGATGTTGTGAAGGTTAAGATAACAACAGGGTTGAAAAAGAACTAGATAAAATCATGGAGGATAGGTCCATCAATGGCTTTTGGGCAGGATTGGAGTCTCTAATTTGTTTGCTAGAAACTGGGAATGGGCAAAGTGTTTGTGTGTGTGGATCACTTGATTACTTGTGCTGTTCATTCTCTCAGAAGCATCTGGGACTGACCTCTATCAGAAAACAGGACACTGGGCTAGATGGACCTTTGGTCTGACCCAGCCTGGTCATTCTTATTTTCAGGGCCTTGTGAGAAATCAGCTATAAATAAAAGCAGATTGTCTGCTTTGATAAGTGTAGTTTCAATGTTGAAATAATTTTAAACTATATTCAGACATTTTCAGTAAAAATGCTGCCTATTTTGAAACCATTTCCTGTATCTAGTTGAGCGATGTTTTTAGTATGTTGTAGTACTCTTGCATTTTCTTCTCCAGAACCATTTGTTCTGGCTTCAGAATACAAGCCCTGCATCTGCAAAAGTAAGTGCCCTGATCTGGGAAGGAAATGAGTGCAAGAAGGTGGACATGTCTGTGCTGGAGATCAGCGGGATCATCATGAGCAGAGTAAGGACTGATTCCCCTCTCCTGCTTTCTAAGGTTATAACCATGAACTACACAGTTAATTGGCATAAGTTAGATTGACTTCGAGCCCCGCCCTTCCCCAGCTTTTGATGGGTTGACCTGGCACCCTTGGGACATAGGAAGGATAAGGGGGGCCCTGAAGTAATTACTGCAGTTGTTCATGTCCACTCTACCTCATGTCAGTGGCATGTGTCCTCACCAGAAACACTTATCTAAGGAGGAGAGGGGGCACTAATAGCCCAGGTTCTCAGCTCTGAACTCCCCATGAAGCAAGCTCCCTGCAGAGTGGGGCGGGGGTGGGGGAGCAAGCTGGGTTGCATCTGATTTCACTGTGAACTCCCTGCAGAACAATTAATGGTAATTTCATGGCTCCAGCTGCCAGGAGCCCAACAGGTGATGCAAGTAACCTAAGCCTTGCACATGTCAATGAGGTGAACTTACTAGGATGGTGTAGTGGGCAAGTTACTATGGAAGGAAAAACACAGTAGTGCATATACTTACATAATTTAGTTGTCAAGCTGCTTTTTTGGCAACAACTACATAGTATAGCTATGCTCTAAATTGTGATGCACCTGCAAACTTGACAGGTCCAAGCACCTTTTATTAAAGATGGCCCTAAATACTCTTAACTAGTCATTCTAGAGAGCATAAAGTACATTAATTTGAAGTGGAGGATATGATTTCTGATCTGAGAAACAAAATATCTAGCTCTTACATAGCACCTTTCATCAGTAGATGTCTGCATGAAGCAAGCAGCACTCCCTGTCCTGAGTGACCGGGAGTTAGAAGGTTTGGTGTAATTAAAATTTGTGACTCATGGTTGCTGCTCTGTTTTGCTCAGCCTTGTACCTTTCTCAGAAGTGAGATTTTTTTTTTTTACTCAAGGTAGGTGAGAGAGGGCCCTGGAGAGGAGGGAGATGGACAGATCATTACAAGGGGGAAGAAGTGGTCATTATATGGAATCATTTTATGCCACACTTTCACTTTTTGTTTTTTCTTGATTTTTCTGGTTCAGCCTTGCTCGTTTGCTGTGTGCTGTTACACTCCATGGAAGAATCCTTCCAGTGGTGAGTGACTGGAGAGATGACGCGTGCAATGGCTGAACATAACCGTTATCTTACAGCCACTCCAAAACACGGTTTCTTTTTAAATGTCTGTCGAAGCGGAAGGATACGTATATACTTACACATAGGATTGCTAGTGGAGGTTTTCACCATTGGTTTTTAACCTCTTACTGTCATTTTAAACAATAGTTTTAGCCTGCATACTGCTAATGACCTTTCCCTATTCTCCAGGTAAATGCCTATCAGCAGGGAGTAGGCTATCAGATGCTGGGTAACCTTGTCACCGTTGGGTTAGCGTTTCTTCCTTTCCTCTACCGGCTCTTCCATACAAAGAATCTTGAACAGCTGCGATCCATTTCAGTGTTGGAGCTTTTGAATATTTTTTGTGGCGCTCCTATCATCACCCCTGTCATCATCTTGGCTGTGATTAACTTCTTTGAGCGTCTCTGCCTGACTTGGATGTTTTTCTTTATGATGTGTGTTGCTGAGAGAACATACAAACAGGTTTGTCTAAATGTTCAGTTATCTTTCATGAACATACACATCTCTGTTGCAAGGTTCAAGCTGCTGTCATTGATTCCCATCTTAAAGTGACTGCTGAGACTTGTGTTTGGGAGCAGCAAGATGCTATGCAGGTTTAGGGAATGCTGGGATATTTTGGTGCGCTGTGGCTTCTACTAAGAAAGCTGAAATGACATTACCTTCCACCAGGAATTAGTCTTGGAACTTGTTTTTTTTCTTTGTATTGCTGAAAGGAAATTAACCTTTAAGTACTTGCTATGTTACAAGTAAGGCAAATTGGAGCAATCTGGAAAAGTTACTAGCGCTATATGTACTGTGAAGCCGATAGTTAGGAGACTTGTCTTAGAATGAAAAATGTGCCCCCCAGGAAATAATATGATCCCGGTGGAAGACTATTGCTTGGCTGGACTTGATTGACCAAGAGATGCATGGTCTGATGGGCCCATATCACATGGATGTGTGTTTGTATCGGTCATATTCATCCACAAGGGAAGGGGGCCAGCAGTTTTGAGAGTTTGCTACTGTTGATACAGATGTGGCATAGGCATGATTGGTATCCTGTAATTGAGATCAATACTAAAGCTCTCATGGCTTCGTCTTGTACAGAAATGTATTTGCTACCAGTGGTAACCACAGAACTTTTTCTTTGTATTTTTTTTTATATATAGATATAGATATAGATATAGATATTACTATATATTATATATATAGTATTATATATTATGTGAGGTACATAATAAGTCAAGTACCATATGGATGCTAACATTTAGAAGAGACCATTATGTGGATTTTCATTAGTAACACATTTTTCTTTTGCAGAGGTTCTTGTTTGCCAAGCTTTTTAGTCACATAACATCTGCTCGGAAAGCCAGGAAGTATGAAATCCCCCACTTCAGACTCAAGAAAGTGGAGAATATTAAGATTTGGTTATCGCTGCGTTCTTATCTAAAGGTACGTTCTGATCCAAAGAGTGAAAGTGAGTTTAAAATGTTAACAGACTAAAGCAAACGGTGTAAACAAAGTTAGTTGAAGGTGGCTGCGTAGCTAAATACTATTGGTGTGTTTTCTGCTGTCTTTTACTGAAGTTCAAAAGGCTTCACAAATTTTACTAAATGTTTGTTTCCACAGAGGAGAGGCCCCCAACGATCTGTGGATGTAGTTGTATCTTCAGTCTTTTTATTGGCTCTATCAATTGCTTTCATATGCTGTGCACAGGTGAGATTTCCACATTTATGTTCGAGAGCAATAAAAAGCCAGTGAAAGAATTCTTCCATTGAATATAATTGGCAACAGGTTTCTAGGTGGATTTTAGTCCTTAAGCAGAGGAAAGGCTCCCTTGCTTTTTTCCGTAGTATAGTTGTTAGCAACAGTTGGCAGAATGGTTTCATTGTGCTGCAGATGAAGGCTCATGCTTGCTAAGTAGCTGCACATCACAACTTTGGCTTTGCAGTGCTGGGATTGAGTTTTATGTGTGCTGAGGGAAAGACTCATCAAACTAGTTCCTCTAACAATCAAAATATATTTACATTGGGCAGCACTCCTGTGTATCTAGGTAGCAGGTGGTAGGGGATAAAGGGCACCAACACTTTCTGCTTTCCTTTACACTATTTTGCAGTGGTGGTGCCTAGATAAGCCAGCTGCTGTTGTGTAACTTCATGATTACGGATATAGCACAATTTGGCAGTTACATCTGACTGTGCACAGTAATTGTGGAACAGAGCTGCCATGGTCATAATAGAGGATGACATGTATTAATCAGGCTGATAGTTGGTATAGACTATCCTACTTTTATTCATGTACTAGAAGATTTACCTGATGCTGCTCAGGCCCTTCAGAGCAAGGGGTTCAGGATCCAGGGGGCTCAGCATGAGGTTGCAGGGGGTGGCAATAGCCTGTGGCTGCTCCCTGATCCAGCAGAAGCCCCCAGGCTGGTCCAGGACAGCCTGAAGTTATGATAAGAGGAAGCTGCATTCCCAATTTGATAGTTCTAGCTTTTATGGTTTAGGAAGAGGGAGTTCTCAAACAGACTCACTCAGAGTGATAGACTCACTCTCATATATATAAGTTTATGGTAGGTGAATAGGAATATTTTCAGTTCCTGCCAATTTTTTTTTTTGTTTAAAACAGGTTTTAAAAGGCCACAAAACATTCCTGAGTGCAGCTTACAACTGGGAATTCCTGATCTGGGAAACAGCTCTGCTGCTTTTTCTGCTGCGCCTGGCATCACTGGGCTCGGAAACCAACAAAAAATACAGTAATATTTCAGTCCTGCTCACTGAACAGGTATGTCAGCTGCAGTTCACCTACCCTTAGGCTTACTGTTGTCTAATATAAAAATGGTCTTTGCAGTTCAAATGAACTCTCCATGTCAACTTAGGGCCGCCTTAGTCATCTGTTAATTGTATTTGTGCATAATGGAGTACAATTACAGCAGGCTTTAAAGGAAGAAAGCCTGTTAGCCAGGCCCAAATTCTGAGTGTTTCCATTTTTGATTGACTGTTAGGGATGAGAAAAACCATGGCACTCTGGGGAAAAATTGGATGATTCTGTTAATGTATTAATCCTGCATGTGAAGACAAAATTAACAGCATTTAATGGACAGGGTGGTATTGGTACTTTTGCATAGACCTGTACAACTGACTCTGGTCCCTATGCTGTAACAGCAGTATCTTGGGTGAAGTGCTTGGATGTAACATGTGCTCCAAAATACCTGTTTGTCACAGATCAACTTATACCTAAAAATGGAAAAGAAGCCAAACAAGAAGGAACAGCTTTCTCTCGTGAACAATGTTTTAAAACTGTCCACAAAGCTACTAAAGGTGAGTTCCTGTCCTTAAGTCTTATGATTCCCCAAAAAGATAAGTTTAGTTCACTCATGTGCCTATCATGCTGACCAATATCATCTCATTGCTTCCATGTCTGCCTCTGTGTCGTAGCCTGTAAGTTTTCTGGGGTACTTTCTTTGCACAGTGCATAGTACAATTGTTGCCCTAGAGAAGATTCTCCATATTTATGATGGGGTCAGTAAAGGACACCTCAGGGCTGAAGCCTGAGATGCCTCATGTATCCAGTCTAGGGTATAGCAGGCTATTAGAGTAGTTGAAAATATTGGTGATAACTGGATCTAGGTTTAATTTACATGTTTTCATTACAGGAGTTAGATACACCATTTAGACTCTACGGCCTGACTATGAACCCTTTAATCTACAACATCACACGAGTTGTGATCTTGTCTGCCATCTCAGGTGTTATAAGTGATCTTCTTGGCTTCAATATCAGAGTAAGTGCAACTGCCACTTGTGATGGCAAGGAGCATGTTCTAGTAAGACAGGATACCTAATTAACTTATGGGTTTAATTCTGGTTTTGCCATTGTGGTTGTCTCTTCACTTGTTTCCCCCTCTTCTCTGTGTGAAAAAAATCAGATGAGCACACAAACAGGTTTTTGTGCTGTAGTAGACAGTCTTATTATAAGCTTTTGGCTGCCTCAGAAGCAGAGCTTCAAAGACGGTTCCTTTATTGGGTATCTAACCCATTATTTATGTACTAGTATGCGTTCTTGCTGTCTAGACAAGCAGCTGCTCCTTTTTTACAATGGCATTAATTCATTCAAAAGATTTCTTGATTTGTTTATTTAAACTCTCAGCTCAGTACTAATTCCTAATGTGTATTTTCAGTTATGGAAAATCAAATCCTGAACTGGCCAGCTATCAAGGCTCAGCCTTCTCAATGGTGGATGGATTATCAGAAGGGCACACTGGATAGAGCAAGACATTGGCTTGAGGCAGAGGTGGTCCTAAATTTGGGCACATTTCTTACACATGTGTGTCTTAAAGAGGTTCTCTCACATTGTTGAGTTTCAGAGCCTATAGAATAAACTAGTTTAATTTGTATGGGTGGCCCAGGACTTGTAAACTAAGTAAACAAAACTTGATTGCTCTGTCAGCAGAGCCACACTCTTGTAAGGCCATATCCCTATTAAGTAAGGGCATCAAAACAGTAGGAAAATAGTGTGGGAATCTGCATAAAACAGCTTGCATGTCCCTGGCCTTGTTAAAGCCCATTTGTATATGGATTGACCAGTTAGTGCAGCAGACTGGCTTTGTTACACAGTGAAGGTGCGGAGGCAGATCTCCATTTGCTCTGCTAACATGAGACCTTAATTTCACTGCAGTGAGTCAGTAATGTAACGCCCAATTACTGCTTTGTTGTAAGCAAGCTCTTCATTTGTTAAAATATGGTTTTAAGGCCTGGACATGAGAACTAGCTTTGCTAATAACTATGCAGGCTAAATGCATTACAGCTGAGCAGAACATTACAAGTACTTAGGGGTAGATTTCAAAATTCTTCTCAATTGATGCCTTTTTAGTTTACATATTAGAGCTCATCCCTGTTGCTCTTTCTTTCAGCTACAGCTTCCTCCAGGGCCCTATTTGATAGACAGGTGCATGTATGTAGTATTTACTTTAAGTCACATGTTCATTAAATGCCTCCAGGCTGCAGAGGCAAAGTCCGCTTTGGACTTTGCCCCTTTTTCCTGAGTTACTGCAACCTTTTATGAAAGTAAGTCCACCCAAGATAACTATTACCTCCTATGGCACTTAGCAGTTAAGGCTTTCAGTTTCACAACATTAAAGCCACTCAGGTGCACATGCTGGAAGAGATGATAGTTTTCATATAATTGTTCTTCAAAACTCATTACTCTTGAATGATAAGACCTAATAGAACAAGCAAAGCATGCTCCAGGAGGGAATATGATAACACTTGTTTGCTAGGACTGGTCAATCTATAAAGTATTAACATATAAAACACCTTTTTACCAGGCTGCTGGCAGCTAGAAAACAATAAGTAACAGCTACATGTAACACTTAAATCTTTGGTAATGACTTGATTATAGAGCTTTGAGGTGGATTAATACAGTAGTGAAAGCATTCTGGAAAATATTAATGCTTTCTACTTCTATAGTGCCTTACCTTTCTAATACAGGTAAGTATTCACAGATGTGGAAGAACAGAAGAATACGCTGTTCTAACGCACAGCCTCCTGAAAGTATAGCTGCTTTTTATGCAACACTACTGATACCGCGCCTTGGACAAAGGAGTAAATGGGGCTCTATGGTAAGGACTGACTGAAAATGAGAGAGAAGGAGGAATGTGATAACCTCCCTTTCAGTATGAGAGCTGTAACAATCTTCACAAATGGCACAAGGAAAGAAGTCTCCTGAGGAGAAATTGTGCTGTAAGTGCAGCTTGTGTTTTCCTCACACTGGTTTCTAATAAATTAGGAAATAGTAAGTAACTCATTAGATTAATATTGCCAAAGAAAAGGATACCTTAAACTCCACTGTTCCATCTCACACCATAAAGGGACAATGACATAGGTCACTTTTTGTAGTAAATTGTTTATGCAAAGCTATTTTCTGTACAATGAAAAGAAGTAAAAATGTAAAAAGTGACATTTTAAAATACAAATAAACCCATGGCAGCAAACTACATCAAACAGTTGTTACTGTGTTTTGCAGAACTGTGGTTGAGCATGCTTTACTCAAAGGAGGCAAGGTAATTTGCAGACGACAAATGAAATTTCAGTGGAAAATATGGATGTTTATAGGTAAACTGGGCTGTTTAGCTAAGGCAGTCTGGTGTCATTGTAAAATGATAGACCACTAACATTTTACAGTACAAGAATGAGCAGGCTCTGAATGGGAGTTTCTTTTTAATATATCTATATAAAAAATAATGAGCAATTTACAGGTCTCTAGTCAGAATCTCAGAAGTATATATAAAGGTGCTGTACAATATATAAACATTTACATCCAGTACATCCATCTGTTGCCTAGCATTCCAAGGCCACATTGCTAAGTCATCTTATACAGTAAGTACAGATACAAGTTTTTTGGAAAAGAGACTCACAAACAGAGGACACCAAATCTGGTCACAATGTTAACAATTAGAAAACAGCATTTGGATGGATGGGTACTTAACCATTTCAATGGTGCTAATTCATCATAGTATTACTTTCTCTGAATTTGGTACTATACTCAATGGTTAGAACAGGTGCATACAACTCTTACTGAAGAGAGGATCCCACAGGTTTCAGTCAAGAATACAGGATTAATATCTACATAGGCTAACTCAAGTATATCACAATCATACTTTACAATATTGAGGATTTTGTACATTTTATGCTACAGCAAACTGATGGATTCATAATGTGAAGCAGCAAAGGACAGAGGTGCTTGAGAATCTATTTTAGAACTGTTCATTTAGGCCTGCTGCTGAGTAGTTGTCTATTTCTAAAGTCTTTAACTTAAATTTAAATTGATTTTTTCAAATTGAGTGAGGCTAATTGAGACTTAACCATTAAAAATAGAAAAAGAAATGTTATAAGTTGTCAATCTAACATGAGGGTCCAGGCAACTGATCTGGACTTGCCTTACCTTTTTTTGGCTCTGCTTTTGTGAACCTGTCTGGCTCCTTTAACTGCCTGATTTGCAGTCATTGAGAACCTAGCACATATCAGGAAATCAAATCCATTAAGAATGCTACTGAGTAAGTTATTTCCTGAAACTTCTGCTGACTGCTATTCCTATAGGTAATTACATGACTGATATACAAATATCTTGTTTAACATTCCTCAATTTTACTTAAATACATATTTTAAAGCCCAAACCATAGATATTAAATCTCATGTACCCTGTATGTCATCTATTTCTCACTCAAAAAAAAAAAAAAAAGACCCAAATAACAGAGGAGACTTCTAATAGTAGGCACAGGTAAGAAGGACTTTCTAGAGAAGCTGTTTGTTCTTAGTTTGCAACAACAGGAGTTGTTGTTTCAAATACTGGTTTTACGTATCCGTTTAGTTTTACAGGTGAGGACAGGACATTTCCAAGGGTTATTAAAACAAATTCTATGTGGCATTCTGACAAAGTACCAGACAGAGGTGGAAAGCCATCACAATGAATCCAATCATATCCATAGAACAGACAAGGTGAAATCCTGGCCCCACTGAAGCTAATGCATGTTTTGACACCAACTTAACAGGCAGAATTTCAAAGTGATGTTGTGGTGTTCTGTAGATAATTACAATAAGTCCCTCATATGAATTAAAATTTTTTTTGCTAATAGGAAGCATAACTGCAATACCTCATTCATCACACCAAAATGCAATTCTCTTTTAAAATTTCTCATTAGGTATTAGAAACTTTAAGAAAAGAATCCTGTGGGGTAGCATCAGTGGCTCATTTGCTGCCCTGAAGTTGACAGAACCAGTACACAACTTCTTACTGAAGTCATGAAAACTTGAAGTATTTCTCTATACAAACATGCAGCATGCCTTTGAGAAAATAGCTATTTTCAAACAGTCTGGGCTGTGTCTGGGGAAACATGAGACGGATTAAATTGGCTACAGTAGATAACTTGGCACAAGAAGTGAGTCATGATCACATTGGCAATACAGGCATTAAGAAATTTTGTTCAGACACTCACAATACTATCTGAGAAAGCCTTAGCAGTGCAATGTTGAGAGCAGCAGGACACTGCCTTCAAAAGGATGAAGGGACAGCAGCTTATAGAAGAGACTTGCTTGTAAGCAATCCAAAAGGTCCTTCATGCAGCTTATTTAATTTGTACTTAAATGTATTTTCCATCCTTGATAGGTGTAGTTTCTGAAAAATGACAAACTTTGTGGAAAAGATACTTTTGACTAGATTAGAAACCTGATTAAAATGTGTTCTAAAAAAGTTTGTCAGTTAAACCCGTTTTTCAGTGACACCTGTTGCTTGTGTGACTTTACGTGCACTTGGTACCTTCCAAGGTCCAGGAGTTATTGGTGTTTTCTTTATTGGAGAGCTGCTTTCAGGTTTTGAAATTCCACCATCTTTGGTTTCATCAATTGGCTCCAAGTCTTTTTCCGTACGGTCTTTAATCAGAGTAACTGGATCTTGTGTTTCAAGCCTATTTTGTTTCTCTTGAGAAAGCTGTGAACTACCAGAAAGACTGGTAGTTTTGAAGTTTCTACAACTTGGCTCTCCAGTACTGACTTGCATTACTGTTTCATCTTCATTTACTGTTTTCCTAGGCTCATTAGTCTTATTTAATGGAAGAATCTTTTCATCTGTTCTTAGGTTTTTTCTCTCTTGAGAGAACGTGTCATTTCTTGCAGAAATGTTCTGGTTTGTGTCTTGTTTGACTGATTTTTCATTTCCATCTTCGAACTGCTCAGTAGTCACAGTATCAGCAGCTATTTTATCTCGATAATCTGGTAACTCTTCTAATTTGTCCCTGCTTTCTCCTTTTTTGGGATGCTTGTGGGGACTGACAGATTTGTCTTGGCTTCCCCTGGAAGTTTCTTTCACATTGATTTCTGAGTGTATATTCTCATGTCTCCTGGGGCTCTCAGAATGGTTCATGAGATTGCTAGATGTTTTGTTTCTCTCATCTTTTTTTGGAACATGGAGCCCTGCCTGCTGAGATTCTCCAGGTATGCCCAGTTTTTTTGGACTCTCAGATCTGCCTCTCCTAATGTCATCAGTTATTAATTCCAAATGATTTGTTGTCGGCTTATTCCCTGAACTGATCGGCAGATCCCATCTCTTCATGTCCTTCAGCTCAGAGTGGTTTCCCATTAAAGTGCTTTTCTTTTCAGGCACAGTGTTTTTCACTTCTTCCAGTTTCTCAGATACATGAACATTCATTAAAATATCTTCCAATACTGGTAAATCACATGCTTCAGAGGTGGGTAATGGTGACTGTTCATCATATATTATATTTGCAGATGATAGATTAAAACTCTCTCCATCACCTGGAAATGGAGCAGAGTAATTTGTCACAAATATTTAACCAATATTCACACTTATCTAAATTGTTTAATAGTAATGAACATCCAAAATGATCTAAACACTCTAGCTTTTTACATGTCAGGTTTTTTTTTTTAAACAACAAAATACAACACACACAATACACTAAACAAAACAATTTTGAGGAGCTGAAAATTTAAGTTATGGCTAATGGAACATCATTTTTGGAAAAATACAAGGTTGGAATGTTCGTAAGATCTTTGAGGCTGGTAAGGGCTTGTTAGATTTGCGTTAACTGAACATGGAGGTTCATCATAGCTTTAGGCCTCACGCAGCAGAATCACAAATTAAAAATACCTAACCTACAGTATTGCAATGAATGCCAAAAGAAAAAAATTAAAATAGGGAGAAGGTGAGGTTTATAGCATTGTTCTTAAAAAGAAAAAAATGAATCACAAGACATGCAGATTTACCAAGTCTTTAAGGAAAGACCAAGAAAAGCACTGAAAGTCTTAATGTTGCTCAGGTTTCATGTAGGAGCACAAACTGGAAGGAGCCAGACCTGAATAAGGAAGAGAAAAAGCCCAGGACTATATACCAAAATCATTGAAAGGAAAAGATCTCACGGAAAGCATATAATCCAAATGCAGAACACAGTAGCCAATATAGTGATAGTATAAAAATGCCACTCTCCCCCCTTTCATGGCTGCACTTAGGCCAGGCAGTGGGTAAGGAAGATATGGAATATTACTGATGGCTGCTACTACATTTATAACTTCATGAAAAAGCAAAACAGCTCTAAGGTTTCTTGTGGAAAGCTTAACTACCTACACATGGTTTAAATATGTTTCTGGTGAAAGCCTGATTGCAGCTGCACCGGGCTAAAAAGATAGAATTGGAATTGGGAGGAATACATTCTTTTGTTCTCAAAGTGCCCTGCTTTGAAAGACTGCAATGGCCACAAATAGTTTTGATTTGTGATTTTGGAGCACGCCCTAAAGTCACTCCCATATTAGCAGTTCTGTTTACACTGCCTTGCATGCATTTCTGTCCAAGCAATTTGCTTATAGATTTGGGCTTGATTTTTGCATGTCAGACAGCAGTCACAATTAGGAGCTTTCTGTTTCAAGAGCAAGCCCTTCACTCTTTCAGAAGCTGTTTTTGAAAAAAAATTAACATTTTATAGTTTAGAAAGTTCATAATCACAGAAATCTTTGCTGTGAATTTGACAACAGCCCTATACCACGTGAAATTTTCAGTCAAATGTCAAAGCCAACTGTGTTTTTAATTATCACACCTGTAGAGAACAGTACTCTAAAACTGTTGATGGTAGGCCTCATCAGAAGAAAATCATGGCCTAAAGAATACTTGCAATAACATTACATTTTGTGTTTGTCTTTCCAGGTGTTACTACATAATAGTTATTTCACTGAAACCATTTGGATTTTTTGGGGGCACAGTATTTGTGCTTGTATGGAAACAGGTAGCCTGAAAGTCAGCAGAAATGGAAGGATAGTGCTAAATGGTTTTAGTGCACCAGCACTATAGCATCCAACCTCTTTAGACATTAGTTCACATTTCTTTTAATCACCTTTCTCCATCCCCTCAAACAAACTGGCATAACTTGTAACTTACTGTGGTCTGGTATCAAGCCAGTCCCTGGTCTTAGAAGAAGAAGAACTTTATTTCCACCTGCTTGAATCAGCTCAATAGCTCGTGTGTGAGTGATACCTTGCGTGGGTTCACCATTGATTTCAACAATCTGGTCACCAACCTGCAGAGACAATACCAACCACGTTAAACTTCATGAAACACTGCTGCTGTTAGTGGATTTTCAGTATAGGAGAAGCCAGAATCAAACTTTTCTTTTGCCTAGTCCTTTATGCTCTGTCCTATAGCCATTAACATATTAATGTAATTTAACTACCTAGATGTTCAGTGAGTTCTTTGTGTAGATATTCTGCTGCGTGGGCTTCATGGAAAGATCTCAGGTCCTTGAAGTTAATTTTCCATTGGATAAATGTTTAATAGATAAATCTCTGGTCTTGAATAAATCTTTATCTATAAAAGTAATTTGTTGATGCTCTGATGTCAAGACTTGCAAATGAAGCTACTTAAAATCATGTTGGGGAGGTACTTAAATAAATTGTTGTAAGGGATATAATTATTCTAAAGTAAACAGCCAAACATCCGTTTATTAATATAGTTGATTGGGTTGCCCCTAGGTTTCCCATAAAAGAATGGATTTATTATTCTGAGTGAGAAAGCACTGCATGACAATACTAGCTCATTCCTGAGTAGTGAGATATCATCTTTAAGGACTAAAATGCAAATTAACAAACATATCTGATAATGGATGTCAGACTATCAAAGCATTGGGTTCATGAGGTCCATCTTGCAATTCAATTGATTTGCCACTAGATGTCACTACTGCACAAAACTTGTGGTTTAAAACTCATGCATCTGAGGTGAGTTGTTAAACTGAGGCAGTTTTACAAACTGCTACAACAGAAGGAACCCTGCTAAACCCAATAACCATGAATAAAATAAAAATGTTCTTGAAGGTGGTTAGTTACTATTGCAGGAATTAAAGTTTTACACAATCCCACAGAGAACCCTGAGATCAGGGTGAGCTAATACAATAATAAGCGAATTAGAAGAATAAAAAACATTTGGGAGAAAGGTGCTGTTTTACCATCTAATGTTCAGACCAGCTTACAAACTTTGTGTCTGTCTCTGGAAAGCTCCTCTGAAAGTATGAAATTGAGGCTGGGGACAGCCAAGGGCCATTTCAGGGGCTGAACTGGTAAAAAACAGGAAAGCACAGAATAGGGAACAAGCTATCTAGGCACGCAGCCATTCTGCCCTGGCCAGGAGAATATGGTACCTCCTGCCTCTCATGTAACATCACTCCTTATGTTTGCCACAGCATTAATTCCGGTCATCCCTCTGAACTCTGCAACAGAAGCTATGAAAAGTGGCCCTTGCAATAGAGTCAGGTACCACAAGGAGGATGGTTGCAAATATTTTCCAGCAGATGGAGTATACCACCACTACCACCACCACCACCAAGGCCTTACTGGTCCTCAGGTTAACGATTCCCAGTGGGATTTGGCTCCAGTGGAAACACTGGTACAGATTTGGGTGTTTATGCTACATTAGTGCTGCCACTGCGGCTACCACTGCTGAAGCTGCACAGTGATGATAAATAGATCCCAATTTTATCCATCTATATGCATGGCCAGAGCTCAGTAGACATGGAAAGCAAATTTACCAACTTTTTCACTTCAGAGTCTAGTGGGCGCACATACCTGCTGCCTGGCCACAGGGATGAGGCTGTCCCATTATGAACTCATGTTTCAGGATGCTGTAGTTCAGGTGCGACACTGACTAAGCAGCTAAATATGCCTCTCTCACACAGGGTAGGTACCCAGCTAATCCACTGGTGCCCCCTGGGAAACAGTCTAGCTAATTGCACCCTGTTAGTGAGCGAGCATGGAGGTCTGACATGGAACAATATCTGCCTCTAGGATTGGGCTGTTCCATACACACTGCTACAACAGAAGGAACCCTGCTAAACCCAATAACCATGAATAAAATGCATCCCATAAGTTTAGCTGACCAGCAAAAAGCTGGGTGCAAGCAGCCAATTAAAATGTCTTGAGAGGAAGAACAGGGAGGACACCAGAGTTTTTTTTTCCTCTCTGTAGAGAAAGAAAAGATCTTATTACACAATATCTGGCCCCCTGGCTCCACTGACAAATAAGAATATCACTTAAGTATAACCAAAGAAAGATGAGTTTCAGTGTCAGGATGAATATTTGACATTTGTTTCACTATGAATAATTCTGTCAAGTTTACCCCACTGCCCAACCATTCTCTGGCACAAAGGATTGATGGGACAAAGCAGGGAAGCATGCCGAGGTCATTTTTGAGGACAGAACTCAAACAGCATCCTCAATAGACAGAGAGTTTATAAAGCTGACGCGAGAGTTCAGAGAACTGTAAAACTAGTTAACTGCTGTGAATAGTCATTGGCCCATTGCCACCTTCATTTTGCAGGCTACAAAATTGACACAGAACAAGATGAAGGGACTTGTGTAAAGAAAGGATCCTAGCACAAGTTCCTAGTAGGAAGGGAATCAGAACTCAGAGGGCCTGGTTCTCAGTTCTGTGCTCCAGTCGGTAAAAAGTCATGTTATGGACATAATTGCCATGCTGCTGCCATTGCCCTTTGCATGTATTTGGTTTGTTTAGGGACAATATTTAAACCCACCGATCCTTAGAAGCAACACAAAAGAATTAACAGTAGGGAACACCTTGGTAGGGCAGGGGCTTGGCTTGGAAATGTTACAATTCTAAGCTGAGCATAGACACAGAAGGGTTAGAGCTCTCACAAACCAACATTGACCTGCACTCTGGGAACTTTCCTACAGACTTGCATCTCCTTGTGCTACTTCTAGTCAGCCTCCAACTAAGTCACTCATTCTGGTAAACTACTGTCTATCGAGAAGAATTCATTGTTGGAAACATCAATTCCATGTGTGCAAAGAGACACTTGCAAGAAAACAAATTACTTGACCATCTAACCTCTTTGAATTCATCAGTGAACACTCACATGAATTCTTCCATCCTTAATGGCAGGCCCATCCTCAGCTAGTCGAAGGATGAATAAACCCATGTTGTACTCCTTTCCGCCGCGAAGACTGAATCCAAAACCTCGAGGGCCTCTTTCCAGTTCCACTGGATAACAGCCAAGACTCTGCATAAGAAAGAGATAAGCAAGGCAAAGAATTGTGAACTGAGGAATTTTAACTTGTTATTTCCTGCATTTTCAGAAAAGGAAATTTAATAAAACCAGAGAAATCACTTCAGTTTCGTATGCAGGCCAGGTATTAATACAGAGCTAGAAAGGGATATGGTTTTAATTAATTGTAACATGCAGTTTAATCTGACTCATCACAAACACCCATGATTCGGTAGGAGGCAAAATCATACCCAGCCAAAATCTGCAGAGCAGTTTCATTCTAAGAGTCTTAAATATGTATGAACTGTTTTTTTCCCCCATACAGAATGTTCCTAAGACTTTACAGTAGTTCAATTTCACAGGTGATTTGTTTGTTTCAGAACTATAATGATCAGCAATATTCAGCTAGACTAAAGTTTATAACTTAAGCCTATCCTATTAGCATACAAATGTAAGTGGCAGTTGAATTTTAGGACTTCAGTACCACCAGCATCTTGCAGACTCTTGGCTGCTCGGGATAAGTGTCTACCTGAGAATGACGGCTGCCTACAACTGAGAGAACACTGCCATCGGGCTGGGACAAGTACTTATGCTCAGGCCAGGGAAGCCTATAACTGTTGGAAAGTTCTCTTCCAGCTTCATCTTCTATAACTCCCCTGCAATTGATGGAAGAAAAAAGGTTACGTTACTGTGGTCACGTTTATATGGAAACTGAGTCAATCTGCAGCAATGACTTGCTATCAGTAACTACTGGATGGACCAGCAAGAAACATCAGTTGTATAACAATTTGATTTTCTTATGCAAAGTTGATACATTTCAAACCGTATTTAACAGTAGTTTGTTTCTTCATCAGCTGTAATTTATAGCCTTATCCCACTGCAGCACCTCAACAGCTGATCGTCAGTTATATCTGACTGTTGGTGGGCACAAGGAGTTGCATCAGCTATTTCATTCCCAAGTTAGGAACATCTGATGCTAGAGGTCTTCTGTAAACCAAAAGGCTATAACAAGTACAAAAAGTAGGAATTTAGTCTCACTCTCTGTATTCCATACTCTGTCCTTGTTGGAATCCATCTCTGTCATCTGAGAGGGAGGTGTGGGAAGTCTCAATAGTCTATTATGTCTAGTTCAAGTGTCCCCAGGTCACACACAGATGGAACATGACTGGGTACTTCTGAGTAACGTAACAAATATGCAAAATGCAGGAAACAAATCACTTATGAGGATTTAGTCCCAGACCTCCTCCCACCATCACAATGATTAGAAAAAAAGCAGTGAGCACCCTCCAGAAAAAGACTCCTCACTGCAAAGAATGGTACAATGACCCCATCAAGACTTTATAACTGCATAGGTTCATTTTGACTGACGCCGGTAAGCAGAGTAGTAGTAGTGCCCAGGGTAAGGCTAAGAAACAAACAGGATACTACAGATACGGGAAACATCAGTGGAACCAGCATGTACGTCTATTCGTTGTCCTCCATAACTGCTTCCCATGTTTCACAGCCAGTGCATCCTAGTGCTCCCCAGGGCCCCATGAACCATTGATTGGGTGGGAGTTTTTTGGGTCATTTCCACTCAGTGCTGAAGGGATGGAGGCTCCTCTCTGAAGGGATGGAGGCTCCAGCTGGTCTTAGAGCTCTGCCTCCTGCCTAGCCATACAGGAATGACATTTCCAATTCCTCCCCAACCCTCTTCTGTAACAGAACAAGGAGTCTCTACTAGGAGTGAGCATTGGCTGTGCATCTGTTACTGGTCACCACCACATGTGCCGAAGACGGTGCATACGTGAACTCTAATGGTTACACAAGACTAGAAAGGCCAGGCTGATAACGGTGTTCTTGAGGCCACACAATGTAACACGCTTGTTAAATGCCCGGAATGATGGTGCATTTGTGCCTTTCTTTGATGCAGGCAAAGGCGGTGCCCTGGATGGTACTCCCATGCACGGAGCTGAGTGCTTGCTGCACGACATGAGGAATGTGACACAGTTGTTTCCTCCCTCCCCTTCACCTCTGTACATGGATTGGCCCAAGGATGACTTAGGCTGGGGCTGTCACGCCAGCCAGGTGCACTCTTTGTTCAGCTCTGGTTCCCATCTGTCTGAAAACAAAGGCCTCCTACCTGTCTGCTGCTGCTGTTCCTATGGGTCTGTGCTGTGGGGCCGGACTTTGTCTGGCAGAGTTTGTTCCTGAAGGGGGGCCGCGGTGCTCTAATAAAGTCAAACAAAGCAGAATTACAGACAGACTTCTACAAAACCCACAGTGGGGTGTCACAGGAGTAAGCAGCACAAGAGAATGAACTGCTGTTCTGAGCATTTCTGACTTCTCTCAGTAAACAGCAGCTCTTGCTGCCAGCTCTGAGTGAGAACCCAGGGTTCTTAATTTAAAATTTCAGTAGAAACAGAATTTCTGTTTTCCTTAGGATAAGCTACTGGGCATGTTTGTGCCGTGCTGGCTGACAGCAATGTGCAAGGTGGATGCTGTGATGAAGGGGTTCAAAGAGGAGTGGAGATTTCTAGCAACATTTCCATAAATGAAGGTATTTAGTGGAGTTCATCCTCCTTCCATGGAGGAACTTCCTGCTAAGCTAACTATTCTAGGAATGCCAGCACAGACTAGGTTGGTGAATCAAACACAGATGGTTAGACTGTCACCTGGTAAAGGCAGGAGCAATGCCAGGTAGGCAGAACCACAGGGCAGATTGTTACATGACCATTAAATGCTTTGGAGGGACAATCAGAAAGATCAGCATGATGCCTGCCCCGCATCTCCAGCTCCACTGTGAACAGCATTTGAGCCCAACCCAGCAGGGACCATGCAGGTGCTACAGCCAGGAGAGGGTTAATTCATAGTGGAGCAGATAAAATCTCAGGGAAAGGTTACAAATGGTTCCTGAAACTGTATTAAAAGGACTCATCTATTCAATATTTTATCAGAGCTGGAATATCAGAAACCGATAATTAACATATAATGACATTTGAATAAAACCTTTCTTAGTAGCCTTTACCAAAGCAAACCTGTCTTCTACACAGAAAACACGTTTACTGCATGTCTGATCAAATTACTTATGAAAACTCTGACCATGTTTTGAAATACAAGGCGACTGCCACTCAAAGAGCAGAGTAAACCATATTCCAACAAAAAGCTCTCAGAAATCCTAAAAGGCTTGTTAGCTTGGAAGAAACGTTTACAGTTCAGTTGCAAATTCTGAAAATTAGGGGCTTATAGTGGAAAATGTCTCAGATATTCCAGCCCAATGTTGCTAGGAGTGTGTTAGGTAAATGCATTTCTGGGTAATAATTCAAAACACCACAAGTAATTATGCACTGTAAGGTACAGGAAAGCATATTACTGCTTCTAGTATGGAATATTATATTACATTCCTTTTCTCAGCTATGCCAGAGTTCATCACAGGGCTGTCTGGCCTTATTGCAAGGACATGCCTTGGAGGCATTCCACCCTCACCCCCCTCGACCCCTGACAAAGATCAACATTTACTCCTGGCTTACACTCCCAAGTTTTCATTAACAAGTAGAGGTAAGAAAAGGGCTATCTGCCTGCATGAATTCCAGGCTCCTCCACTCGCCCACAGTTTTGGTTGGTACACAACTGAGTCCATTCTAGAAGGGCTACTGGAGAATGGAGTAGAATTCACATACTCTAGAATGCAAAAGGCTACTGGGACAAATGACGAAAAGTGAAGAACCTCTATGAAAGCCGGAGAGGAGTGCTGGAGGGAAGAGTTACATCCGTGGTCACCAACCCGTCGATCACAATCGACCAGTTGATCGCGAGATGTTCTCCCCTTCCCCCGATTTCCCCCCACCACCAAGAAGCCCCACTACCTACCTCCAGCAACAATGGAGGTAGCAGCAGCTTCCCGCGGGGGGGATGGAAGTCCAGCAGCTGCATGCCACTTCTGGGGGTTCTGAAAGTGCGCTGGCTGCTCCCCTCCCCAGGTCTGTGGTGTGCTGGGAACTTGTGGGACAGGGCAGGTTGAGGAGTCCCCAGAGGAGGTGAGTGTCAGGGCTTTTCCTCCTCTGCGGGGGGAAGGCGGGAGTCGTCCCTAGAGGAGGCATGCACCAGGGCTTCCCTTCTTGGCAGGAAGGAGGGGGAGTTGTCCCCGGAGGAGTCCCTGTCCCCTGATGCAGAACCCTGTCCCCTACCCCCACGGCACCCTGTCTCCTCTACCCTGTCCCCCACTGGCACCTTTTCCCAATACCATGTCCCCTGCTCCCACCAGCATAGTTGAGGCCACATTAGTGAGGCTTGGGGGTTTTTTTTTTTTTGAGTTGTTGCATCTCACTTGTGTGTCCCTAACTGACTTTTCTGGGGGTCAGTGACCCTAATTCAAAACAGGTTCTCTGCCCTTCTCAGAAATAAAGACACTGCAGAAACGTTGTGTGTTTGACATAGTATTTTATTAAAAATGAAGCCTGGCCGCCAAGCCCCCATCTGGCTGCAGCATCATAACACTCCTGTACACACACCACCCCCCAGACCCTACATCTGAGCCTATCATACACTGGAATCCCATGCCCTGAGCCCCTGACATACTCCAACCCAAATTCCTGCACCCTCACATCCACAAGCCTGTGACTTACTTAGCACTCCAACCCTCCATCTGACCCCAGCACTCCCCAGCCTGGAGCCCCCTCCCCGAGCCAGTGTCCCCTTCTCCTCCACCTCCTGCATTCAGATGTCCTCCCAGAGCTTACACCCCTTATCCCTTCCCACACCCAAATCCCTCATTCCCACCCCAGAGCTCACATATCCTGTCTCAACTCAGCAAGGGTCTGGCTACACTGCAGGAGTTTTTCCAGGATTCCAGAGATATCCCAGAAAAACTCTTCTGTGTCCAGGGACGCGTTTGTAATATTTTTTTAAGTGGAAGAGCAAACATGCTCTTTTGGCAAGCCCTATATTCCCTGTTCCACGAGGAATAAGGGAGCTTCCGAAAGAAGGGGTTTTTCTGACATTTGGTCCAGTCTAGACAGGCCAAATGTTGGAAAAACCTCTTCCTACAGAAGAATAAAAAAAAAAAGCAGCAGTGTAGAGTATATAAGGACTGGGGATAGCTAGTGATGGAGAGGAGAAGAATAGAGAGGGCGGGGCTTCAAGGACTCAGTGGGGTCTTGGGGGGAGCATGGGGCGGTAGATCTTGGCTTGTTCTGACATTTAAAAAGTGATCTTGGGTGTAAAAAGGTTGGAGACCACTGAGTTTCATGGTAGCATCTTCACTGCCAGTCTAAGGCCAACAAGTAATGGGGAACAGCAAAGTCGGTCAGTGTTTGAACATTATGGTGCTCGATAGCTTCTGGCTAAATGAGTACAGGAGGCCCCCGACTTGCAACGCGATTGGTTCCGGGGGAAGCGTCACAAGTCGGGGGCATCGTAACTCAAGCCCTCATTTGTAAGTGCGAGGGGTCGGAACTCGGGCAGTTGCAAGTTGGGGGCCTCCTGTATGTCTCTGGGATTAGAGTCTACTCTTTCTCCTCAGTACTACCCACAAAGCAGTTAAGTAGCTGCAGCAGCAGCAGAGGATCTATTCCTATAAGGCCCAACTTGCTTCCCACAGTATGTAACGGAGAGGTCTCCATGATCTAATGTCAAGACCCAGACTTCAGAGAGAAACTCAAAAGCATCTGTTGGTCCAGAGCTGGCCACGGTCCACCTATTGTAACGCCTGCACTGGCGTTCCCCAGCATGACTCTTTTAGGCGGGATAGTGCCTGCCGAGAATGTTGTGATCTGGGACTTGGTGCTCATTGCTGCTGTGCTACAGTCTGAGCTACGTTCCCAGCCTTCAACCAGTGATTATTTTAGAAACAGTAATTTACTCATTTCTGAGTAACATGGATTTCTGCATTTCCTCCAACTGCCACACAAATCCCAAAGCCTATTGGTCACTTTGGGCTGGCTTTATAATTTGCTACTGACATGTTTTTCCAACACTGATTTTCACTCAGCCCCATGTTTTATCTCTGAAGTTTATCTGCAAATCTCAAGATGATGGAGGAACGGAGAAAAGCGAACGGATTAGTGTTTCTCCAGGGAGCGTGATAAGGGGCGTTACTTTCACATAGTAATGGCAGAGGCAATTTATCCCAGAGACAAGGTTGATTAAAACCAGATAGAAATGGACTTTAGGGCAACCTCAACTTAAACTTCAACTGCATGAAGAGCAGCGTGATTGCTCTGAGCTGCCTCCCTGTGGTCTGAAATGAATTAGGGTTGATAAAAATGAAAGTGTCACTGAAACAATGGATTTTATAAATCAAAGGAACCTGTTTCAAACATTAATTAGCAGATAAATTAACTCTTGGATATTCTATGTGGAAAGCTAAGACACCATGTTAAATATCTGCAATAAATGTGAAAGAAGAGGGAATATTGGCTTTGTCCTTGTGCTGGCTTTAGATATTTATTGAGAGCGGAGAAAGCCATCCTACCGGCAAAATAACGATAGCAACTTTAATTAAACCTACAAGTAGCAATCCAGAAAAATGCAATGGTAAGCAGGGCCAGAAAAAAGCTCTCTTCAAACGACTGGCTTTTACATATTTATAGTGAACTATTTGTGTAGGGAGCAATACAGAATGCAGGGCAGTGTTGCATGGGAGCTTTCATTAAAGAATGCCGTCTCCGAAGGTGGGACTTGGGCACTGCAAATGTTCATTTTGCTGCTCAGAGGATTGGTGTGCTGAAATTGCTAGTAACCTGAGCAGGGGATGACAGTTTTCTCCTAATGTATCTTGAGAAGAGCTAAGAACCACCAAATGTTTCCATTGTGTCCCGGAAATGCAGCATCAGGCCAATCTGTGCCTGTTCAGGAGCTAAAGGAAAACACTGACACTGCCCAGCAGGGGAGGCTAGGCCTTAAGAGTGCTTGGCTTCTGCTCATCAACAGGGCCCATGAGGCACAGCTGCCCTGTGCTACTGCCCACGCCTCCTTATGCTTGCTGACACAGGCAATATCACAGTAGGGGCTTACCTTTTAATTCTGGGACAGGGACTCTCCTAATGTGAATTCTTCCAGCAGCAGAACTTTAGGATGCCAGGTAAGGTCAGAAAACTCAACCCAACTTTTCACTGGCATCCCAGAATTCTGAAATTTCCCCCTCTTTCACACAGGTAAGTGCTAGAGCTGGTGGGGGAATATTCCTGTCACAAGCAGTCTCTTTGAGCTATATGGCCAGGCCTTCGTACCACAGCTCTGATGCTCAGAATGCCTGAATCTTGTTTTTTCAATAAACCCATCTCTGAGTTGGTCTCATTCCCTCACCCACTCCACAGCCTGTGCGCCCAACTTCCATCAAGCAAATGAAATGAGTTTCATATTCTGCCACGCGGTGGATTATATTCCTAAAGCCTCTGACGCCTTTACACCACTTCCTTTTCAGTTTGCTCACTTAAGATGGTATGAAACCAGACTCTGGGCGTGACAGCTATTTTATTACAGAAGTACTTGGTGATCATTTGGCAGGGTGCCCTTCCCTGCAGGCGGTGCCACCATTAGCATATGCACTGGGGAGAAACAGGCAGGCATTTTCCTTACCTTCCTCAGCAACGACAGTCAGGGTGACCGCGTGGCCTGCATCTTTAATCAGCTGCACTATGCTGTCATGGGAGAGCTCTATGATTGACTGTCCGTTCACAGCTGAGATACGATCTCCCACTTTCAGCTTCCCACACTGATCAGCTGGGCTTCCTTCAATCACACGCCCAATCTTGTGAGGAATCACTGGGGAGCCAGGAAGAGACATGTCAGCTTTTTCAGCGTGCGTTTTACTTTTAACAGGCAGCCATGGTTACTGTTCATTTATATGAAGTCCTACACATGTAAACAATTGCTGTTAACTGCCTCAAATAAATCTGAGTGGCTCTACCAGAGAGTGCTTATAATCAGAGCGGGACTAGCTGTTTAGTGTCACTTCAACTTGCATGTTTGAAACTGGTGGGGAGGCAAAGATGGGGCAGTTATAGAGAATTCCACATTCTGGGCAATACCGGCTGGCAGCCATGCACATGGAGTGCTAAGAAGAGGTGGGTTTTGTGATAGGGTTTCACTTTGTTGGCAGCCAAGGCTCATTACCCTTAAACCAGCAAGTTAAAGATCGAGAGATTAGCGAAAAATGGTCTCATACAATCCCCCAAAGAATTCTCTCCATCCTGGAGGCACTATCAGAGCAAAGGAAAATAAATCAACCTATTACGTTGGTTTGCAAAACAAACAGGAATGCATGTAAGCAGGGAACATTCAGAGAAATGGGGGGGAGGACCCTGATTTTCTCCGTGTGGCTATCCCTGTAACTAGATGAAAGGCAGAAAGAGGTAAACCATTGTTGGTTCCACTTCTGAAGTGGTTACTTTGGTGAATCAGTCAGGAAGATCACACACACAGCACATACAGTGTGACCCATAACACCTTTTTGTAGGAGATCTGAATGCGCCTTACACAGGAGCTAGGCATCAAGAAGCCTTAGATAAATAGGTTGCTTAAGAAGAAGGTCAACATGAAAACAAGAAAGAGCAGATGCGTATGAAGGGGCGGGACTTTACAGGATCCCAAGGGTGACCATGGGAGCCCTGCAGCCCTGGCCTGATTCATTCTCCTGGCCATGGTCACTCCTGAGAGTGCTGACCCCAATGTGCCTCTTTTGGGAATGCTACGTGGTCCCAGGCGGTACCACGGTACAGAGTGCCAGTCTGGGATAGAGGCGTTCAACTTCCAACTCCCAGGTGTGTCTCTGCTATTGTTTGCGGCGTGAGGAACCAAGGGTTTACGAACAGGCTTATGCTGCACACTTTCCTAAGAAACTTCCATTTACACGGGCATTTTCCCTTCGCTACAGCTTTACACATAAACAAGCCAACTATGACAGATCCGCTGGAACAACAAAAACCCACACGGCAGGAAAAGGCAGCAGAGTGAAGGAAAAATATTAACCAGGCAAAGCCACTAAGAGCCTTACCCCTGGCACATGAGAGTTATTATTATGCTTAAACGAAAACCTTGAAAGGAAGCAGATCACAGCTGCATGAACGAATACAATCTTCTGCAGCAGGAGGCAATTTGTTCTGCCATATGCAAGTCGCTGGCTTGCTTGCTTAGAAGTAATGACACATCCTTGGGCGGGGGGGTGGGAGGGTCAGAGAGAGCCTGCTTGTTGCAGCAATAGCAAATCTAGGCACACTGTAACAGGGCAGCTGCCCTGTACTGGCCCCCGGGGGCCCCGAGCCCCTGCCCCAGCCTAACTCTCTAGCCCTGCCCTAGCTCCAGAGAGCGTCCTGCTCCCTCGGCAGCCAGGCACACACCCTTGCCGCAGGCCTAGCAGGCTGGCCGATTGGCGGTCCGAGCGCCCTGGCCCAGCCTAACTCTCTAGCCCTGCCCTAGCTCCAGAGAGCGTCCTGCTCCCTCGGCAGCCAGGCTCACACTGCCTGTGCTGAAGCAGCCCTTCCCCTTTATAGCTCCCAGCTGGGCCTTAATTGGCCAACGCCGCCCAGCTGGGCTGAATTCCCCGGGCCTGCCCCAGGCCAGGGTTTGGCTCTTAAAGGGGCCAGTACAGGGCAGCTGCCCTGTTACACACACACATTGCTTTTTACCCTGGGACACAGCCAGGACAAATACTTTGCAATACTCAAGTATACTGGGGGAAAAACATCAAACCCTCAGGCTGCATATTCACTTGAGAATGTGGCTCAGGACCATGGTGCTGGGCGTAATCAAAATGCAAAGGTGAGCCAGAGAAGTCAATGTTCTGGACAAAGATTTTTTTTTCTCCTTCTGCGTTTCTAGGCTTTAACATGGATCTGCTCCAGCTCAGCTTGTCTGGGCTGCTCTCCTTCTAATGCTCTGGCTTTTTTCATAGTATAATAAACTCCAGAGCTAAAGGTCCGAGATCTTCCCGTTAATGAGGGAATTTTAGATGCCTCCCTCAAACAGCTTGTCTCCTACTGCTACTTACAAATTACCTTCCTATTTTCACACAAGCCAAATCCACAAGTCAGAACCCTAAGAAGTGCTACATTACTTAGGGCAAAACTTCTGGTTTGTAACACACCACCTGGCTGACACAGAATGTTCTCCAGTCAGTGGTTCCATCATTGCCTTCAGAGGTACCGGGATGTGAGAGAGTCAGGGACCTGGACAAAAAGCCACACCCCCTGACTGGCTGTCACAGGGCTACGTTTGGAACTCTACTTCCATCAGAAAGAGATTTATCTAGCACAGTGGTCACCAACCAGTATCTCAGGATCTACTGGCAGATCTTGCAGCCTCTGACAGGGGATCCTGACTGGTTTGGCCAAGAGGTGATCAAGGGCTGGCACTTCAGCTGCTCCTCCTCCCACTGCTGCGCATCTCCTGCCCTTTGCCTTGGTGTCCCCTCAGGAGCCTCTTGCTTGCTGTGCAGGGCAGATGTGGGGTGGGAGAGGAGGGTGCTGATGTCAAGGTGCCCCCTCTCCTATTTTGTATCCCATCTCCGCAGAGCAGAGGGGGCACAACAGGACTTGGGATGGAGTTTGCTGGCTGCTTTGGGAGTGGTGCAGGGCTAGGGCAGGGGTGAGCCTGCCTTAGCCCCACTGCACCCCCACCCAGGAACCACTAGCAGTACCCAGCTGGAGCCCACATCCCAAACTCCTACCCCAGTCATGAACCCCCTCCTGCACCCCAAGCCCCAGCCCGAGTACCCCTGCATCCAAACGCCCCCTCAGCACCCCAACTGCCTGGCCCAAATTCAGTTCAGAGCCCTTCTCATTCCAAATCCCTTAACCCAAGACCAGAGCCTGCACCCCAACCCTCTGCCCCAGCCTGGCAAGTGATGGAGGATGGGGGAGGGAGGACAGAGTGAGCAGGGGGGGGCCTCGGAGAAGGGGCACAAAGGAGCCAAGGCAAGGATGTTTGGGTTTGAGGTAGAGTTTGGAGTGCACTTAAATTCAAAATGTGACCTCATGCTTAAAAAGGTTGGAGACCCCTGCTCTAGGACTAACTACAAAGTAACTCTTTTCTATCAGGCCCTCTTCACAGAATGTGCTAAGTGTGTGCATATCTGTTCCCTGCACCCAGTAGGGTGGTGATAAAGAAGTGGGTAAACTCAATTCCTTATTCTCCATGATTAGTGAATAAACTTTGCTTACCTGCATTTACTCTGGACTGCACTCGTCAGATAGCTAAAATGCAGCCCAATGCAATGCAGTGTACCCTGCCAGCTGCCCTGGGAGACTAGCAGAAAGGAATGGCCTACTGCTGTTGGCACAGAAAGCCTGTTTCTGTCTGTCGCTGATGTCCAGGCAGGAACAGATGAGAAGTGACTCACTATGGTCACACTTTCACCCTTAGGGCTACCCTCTAAGAGTGTAAGAATGTCTTTTGTCCTGTGGAAGAGTTTATAACAGTAGCTATTTTAACCTTACAATACTTTGCGCTACATTTGTTTTTGTTTGTAATCCTTGCTTATGAGAAGCAATTATGCAATTCTTGTTTGTGTGCGTGAAGAACATGAGTGTTTGAAAACGGTTAGTCTGAAGGCCAGCACAGTATCCAGACGGTATGGGGAGAGGCTGGAGACTCTGGAACACAGAGAAACTACCAAATATACCCACTGTAGCTGATGACTGATGGGAGGCAAACTGACAACCCTGCAGTAAAAAGCAAGCACTCCCAGCACATAAGTCCCAGTTTAAAATCAGGGTGGGACAACACCCAGAGAAGATGTCAGCAAACCGATGTCAAGTAACAATGAACCAATGTTGCAAAGGAACAGATTCCCAACTGATGCAACAAAACTCATAGACTTGCATGAGAAGGAGTTCCTCTGACGGGTGGGGTGGCTTGGCAGGGTGGAACCCAAAGCTTCAGGACAAGATCTGGAACATCAGGGAGCCCGGTTGCTACCTCGCTTCAGCCTAACTAGCCACTCGGCTGATGGGAGTAACCGGCTGGTAACGCTTACGGCACGGGCAGGACTGCTGGGCTGCGCGCATGCTTTTCACTTTGCCACCTCACATAACGCGGTGTGTTGCCATTTCCCCCAAAAGATCCCGGGTGCTTCTTAGAAGCCCCACCGCCGCGGCATGAACACATTACATGTTGTGCAAGTGACGGAACCACAAGGGTACATCTCCCTGTCTCTGCTCTAGCACTGCTAACGAGTGTCTTCCCGCCCCCTCACACATGCAAAACTAAGTGCCTGCAGCTTTGGCAGGAGAAACGGAGCTAAACCCCCAGGCTGGCGCCAGTGGAGCAGGGACACCAATACTTACCACCCGGAGGAGGTTTGTTTTTTGAGGTGAGGATGACAAAGCCAAATCCTTCATTCTCTTTCCGCTGCAGCAGGACATCATAGGCCTCTGGGGACGGTCTGATTGAGACCTCTCCCCGGTTCAGCCGGGGAGATCCATTTTGAGAGGAAATGGGCAGATGCGACTCCTCCTCTGCCGGCTGCTTCTCCACTACAAAACATGAAGTACCAGGTTGCCTCAGTCAGAGTGCTACTGGGCTGGGCATCTCCCAGGATAAACGCCATCAGGTCACTAGCAAAGCAGAGCACAGCAGCTCTTCCCCTCTGCCAAGAGGCTTATCAGCAAGGCAGCTGAAGCACGGGGCAGAGCCCTTTGCACTGTGGGCAGAGGTTACTGCACAGGTTTGAGAATGCGTAATAAGAGTTTAACGTCTGCCAACACCACCCTGCAATACACACGTTTACAACCAGCGGTGAAGAAAAACTTAATTTCTTCCCAGTACAGGGGGCACAATAGCTAAGGGGGAACCATGTGACCCTCCATGGCACTCTGCCTGGCCCCCAGACTGGGGGGGCCCCAATGCTTTTCCCCTTCTCTCTCCATCCCAGTTACCAAGGGGTGGGGAAGGGGAACACCTAGCCCTGCCCCCAAGCCTCCATCGAGCTGCATCGTGCGTCTGCTCTGACTCCCTGCAGCAGCAGCCCTGCTTTTCCCCTCTGGGTGGAGCAGCAACATGCAGGGAAAGGGGCAGAATGCGGCAGCTCCTCCAGCTGCTGACCTGCTCTCAGCTCTCTGCCCCCCAGCCTTGTTCTCCTGAGAGGCAGCTGGTGGAGTGGCTGGGGGCAGCACGGTGTTCTCCGGTACGTATTCCAGCTACCTAGAGCCTGCTGGAACGGCGTGCTGTATCAACTTACTTCCACAGGCCCATACCTGCTTTGTCACCACTGCTTGTAACTCAGAAGGGAACCCCCTCTCAGAGGTAGCAGATACTCAGCTGCTGCTGAACTTACTACTAACCTCACTGTGCCTCTCTCTTCACTCTCGTTTTGGCAGCACTGGTTTTTTGTGTACGGCATAAACACAAGATCTATAGCAGAAATTCATCTTAGAACTGGGACTATCGCAATTTTTATTGCAGAGAATCAACTGTTCATGTCTGAAGGTGTTTCAGTACTTTAAATGGTCATTCAAATGTTGAAGCGCAATCCCAGCCTGGGAGTTGTCTGGGAGGACATGCCTCTCTAGGCAGTTCACAGTAAAATAAAGCCATGTAAGGAAGGGGCTTTTTTTCCCTCTCTTTTCAAATTAAGTCCAGGAGAAGTAAACAGCAACCAGAAGTAGAGTTGGCCTGATACCGACGAAGCCAGGTAAGCTTTTCAAGATCTTTGATTCAGAGCCTCTCTTTCTGGCACATGTCACGCTGTCAAAATTAACCAGGGAGGCAATGCAACTGGAGATGCAAAGACAGAAAATTGCTTTTCTTGTGACTGAATTAATCACTGAGCCTTTAGGTGGCCTCTGTGTGCTTGGCTCAGTCTGCTCTCCTGGCAGTGTGCTATGACGGGCTGGCAGCAGCCAGGGATACAGCACCAAGAGAATACATCTGGAATTCCTAGGTAGGTAATACCTACTTTAATACTTCACATATTTTCACTTGAAACAAAAAATGAGAGAGAGGCGCTCCCGAAGCGACTGCAATCTGCTTAACACTACACAGATATAAAACGTCATTATGACTGGAGACCCAGCTCCTCCTTGTTTGCCTGGTTTCCATGTGGCACCTGGCAGAAACACCACTGACAGTGTTAACTCACTAATACCCCTAGGTAGATATCACTCCCATTTTACTGAGAGTAACTTACTTCTGTGTCATCTGTCATCAGCCACAGGCCTGGAATGAGAATTTAAGACTGTCTAAGCTCATATACTCAGCCCACTAGGTCATGCTGCCTTCCACATGCATGACTGTGAAAGGGGAGAGGCTATGAAAGTGACACACTTTGTATTTTTTCTCTGTTTATAAAGGTACCATTCCAGCGATCCTGACTGAAAGATCTGAGAGAGGTCGTGGTGTTTACTAATGTGAACAGGGTATTGCAAGCCAGGATTCCTGGGTTCTGTTTTCAGTTCTGTCACTGTCCGTTGACAGCTCAACTGCATGACAAGCCTTCTCTACCTCAGTTTCCATATCGGAGCTGCTTCCAGAATGCCGTTCTATTAGCTTAATTTCTGCATTTAGTACAACAATGCACTTAACCCTGCTGAGCCAATTCTAACAAGCCTCAGAGTGCAGAGTACTGCAACGCAGAAAGGCAGGCAGGCGGGCGTTTTACCCCACTCATCTGGGAGTGGAGGTGAGCTTAGGAAGTTGCTCATTCCTGATGTGTTAATAGTTACTGTCCAGCTTTATATCATTATCTGATTATGCCCATGGAAACGTTCCTCCACACCAAGTCCAAGAACAAGGCTCCCCTGGCCACGCTACCCAACTCCAGCAAACCTAGCAGGACTGGGTTTAGTCTGGATACCTGGCACTTACCGCTAAAGATGATCTTTCTCCGGACAGTGAGTAGCACCTGGCCATTCCGTGCAGCACTGGTCATTAAGTCCAGCACTTGTTTGTGTGATTTCCCTTTGACCGGGATTCCATCAATGCACACCAGCTCATCAGCAGCTCGGAGTCGGCCGTCTTTCTCTGCAGCCCCCAGTGGGATGATGGCCCCAATGTATATCTGTCACAGAGAGCAATCATTGGGCACGGGATCTCGAACACACAGAACATGTAATGTCTAATCCCTAAAGAAAGAGGGTCTAAAAAGGGTCTTTTTGTAGGGTGTCCTTAAAAAGTCCTCATTATTTCCCCTTCTAAATCCAGCAAAATGCATGCTACAGAAGCCACATTAGACCAACCTCATCAGCAAGTGTAGAAATGAGACCGTCCCAGCTTCCTGACGTTCAAACTTAATGCTCATCTTCTTGTAAAGTTTGTTTTTATTCATTAATTCCTATCAGCTGAAGGGTTACCACCTCATGAGCAGGACACGCTCTGTATTCGTACCCTTGTCTGTCTGGCTGTTTTACTGTATTCATGTGTTATTTATGATATTTGCTCTGCGCATCAAAAATTACTCAAAATGACTGACAAGAAATGCTTGTGTCATCACACAGCTATGGTACACTGTCATAACTGAGACCTGCTAGGTAACCCCAGTGTGGAAATTCAAGTTCAAAGAGCCTAAGAAAAAAACTGCACACCCAAAATCTGCCATGTGCACATACTGGTGATCAGAACATGCATTTGAACAGTGGCAGCACTCACACCCGTTTGGCATGCACCTTTCCACCCAAACACACACCAGCTACACGCCAAAGACAGGAGCAGCGTACACACTGCAGTTATATAAACTAGAAAAAAAATCCACTGAAGCGAAGTCTCAAACCAGTGATGCCCAGCAGCTTTCCAAGGTTAAGCAGAGCGCATATTTCTTCCCCAACCACCCCGCCACTTGCACTCAGGGCATTGCTAGGACTATTACCAACACAGCTACAGTTGCTATAGCAACAAAGCAGAAGAATACAATAAAACCCCTAAAATTGTTTGTGATTTCCTCTAGAAGCAGCACTCGGGTCACCCTTTCCTTTAAATGCAAGTCACAAAACCAGCTGGCATTGGATCTCAGATGTAAATGCAGAATGCATTTCAATTGCATATGAAACGGCATGCTCGCTATCAGTGTCTCTATCCCCAGGTTGGCAGAAGAGGGAGCAGTCACTGCCAGCAGGGGGCAACAGCCGCCGCCGGTCCCGGGACGAGGTGTCTGTGTGTGGGGGGACTGGGCTTAGCACCCCAGAAGGGTGGGGCAGAGGGTAATCATCCCTTAGCACCACGCAGACCAGCCTTCAGAGTTGTGAGGAGCAGCTTTCTGGCAGCATTTCAAAGGGACTTGGCACTTTGGCTGCTGCAACACCTGGCAATTCTGAGCCTCTCTGAATCTCCCGGGGGGCAACTGCTCCTGCTGCCCCCCCCCCTCCACCTCCCCGGTGGTGCGGCTGGTCACCGCCATACAGTCAGGGACAGAGTTCTACTTGCATGGGGAAACTGGGCTTTGGTGAGTGAGAAACAGGGCAGAATTCCCTAGAACTAGCCACAGCATGAATAGGGACTCTGGGAATTTCCATTCATGTCTTCGCCAAGCTGACGCCATCCTCACCCCTCTCTTGCATTCCTTCCCACCAAGGCCTCTCTCAAGCAGAACCTGTCACCCGAGTCACACTGTGGCACAGCTGTGGAGAGTGAAGCCAACACACCTATCTGATGGCTTACAAATCATTTCTGAACTGCGATTTCCAGAAGTGAAAGGCTTACAAAAACCATTCACAAAAAGATGCATTACAATTTTCTCCTGGCCTCCTTCCCTTCTGCAGCAGAATAATGTTAACAAGGCGGTAACAAAGGAAGTGGGAAGTGACTTTTCTGGAACAGCCAGAAAGGCCTCTCATATTTTCTAGTTCAACTGACATGGCTGTTGTCCTGAGCATTACCAGCGTGCACTGGAGCCAACCCCATTAATGCGATTAGATGCTGTAATGTGCAACGGTTTGGTGCCAACCCCGTCTTTTGAGAGCACTCTCAGGACAGAATCATTATAGCATAGAGGCTCGATGGAGAACTGCTGCTGCCAAGCAAGATTCTAGGCAAACGGAAAGTGACAGAGCCCGGGGGGACTGAAATCAACCATGAAGAGGAAAGGGAAGAAAGGTAACAAACCATTTTATCGCCTTCCGTTGGCTCTTAATGGGACTGGAGTTAAATGTCTGTGTTCAGACAGAACTGCGTCTTGTTTTAAAAAAATCTGGTCTCATGCAACACACCAAAAAGCTCCACACCCAACTCGTTTCCTTAACTACTGCTGCTGTCAGTCCTCACTCATTAGCAACTCTACTGAGAACTAGGCCACATTCAGCTCTCTGGGCAGACAGAGCAGGTTTGCTCTACCACCGTGGTCACCAACCAGTAGATCGTGAGCTACCGGTAGATCTCAGGGGCTCTAAGAGTAGCTCTTGAGCCCTCTCTGAACTGCGCAGTACATTTACATTAGATTTCCTCATGTAATGTAGGCGGGGCTTCAAGGAAGGGGCGGGGCAGTAGATCTTCGCCTGTTTTGAGACTTAAAAAGTGATCTTGGGTGTAAAAAGGTTGGAGACCGCTGCTTCCACCATATCCGTAAGAATATGGAGAAGTTAACTGCAAAACATGCAGATAAGGGTTTTCCCCCCTCAGATATAATCTAAAACACAACTTTTAATGTGCCTGTCACTGAGGCCCTTTTCTCTCCATCAAGACACCAATGTTGATATGGAGGAGTATAGCAGTGATGCTTGCAGAAATCCAACAACTGCTGACTTTGACAAGGAATCTGCTGATCACGGAATAAATATAAAATACAGCTAATCATGCCTGGTTGCTTTGTTTACCTCTTTTTACCCTGCTGAAGCTTTAGCTCAACATCTCATTGCTCAAGTATTTGTTCCAGTTGTTTTACTGATAAGAACACCGTCTCACCTTCCCCTATAGGACTTTGGGGTACTGTATTTCTCTCCTTCAAGGAGAGAGACAAACTTGAGTTCCCACCTCAATTTGTGAAAGGCCGCTCGCTCCCAAGCTGATGGGCTCCTCACTGACCCAAAATCTGGGAAATTTGGTCCCGTTGTATTTGAATATTAAGTGACAATAGTGACTTCACAGCTTTCACAGTGAATGAGCATCAGATTTTGCCCCAAGTTTCTCCTGCCAACTAAACATCATGGCTGCGTCTATATTGGCATGATTTTCCGGAAATGCTTTTAACGGAAAAGTTTTCTGTTAAAAGCATTTTTGGAACAGAGCATCTAGATTGGCACGGACGCTTTTCCGCAAAAGCACTTTTTGTGGAAAACCATCCGTGCCAATCTAGACGCGCTTTTCGGCAAAAAAGCCCCGATCGCCATTTTCGCGATCGGGGCTTTTTTGTGCAAAACAAATCTGAGCTGTCTACACTGGCCCTTTTGCACAAAAGGGACTTTTGCCTGAATGGGGAGCAGAATAGTATTTCCGCAAGAAGCACTGATTTCTTACAGCGGAAATTCAAGCGGCCAGTGTAGACAGCTGGCAAGTTTTTCCGGAAAAGCAGCTGATTTTCTGAAAAAACTGGCCAGTCTAGACACAGCCCATGAGGGCTCAACTGAATAAGTTGTGTTTGTAGATACTAGCATAACACCAAGCCCCATTGTCTCAGTTTGTCCATCGTATGACACTGCACTTTGGACATCACTTCTCTAAAGCTTAAAGGCAGAGCCCCCCACATGTCTTTGCTTTTCATTCTCAATTATCTCCTGCTTGTTTGCAACCAAATTTGTAGCAATTTAGCTCTGAAAGCATTCTGAGAAAGATAACCAGAACTACCCACAAAGCAGTGTAAAAACATACTGCTCTGTTTAAGGTGAATATGGTATCAACATACAATATAGCTGTTTAAGGTGAAGAAATAAAACTTATCCACTTAACTCAAGATGGAAAAAAAAAATTACAGTGATGCTGTGACGGAGATATTACATGAACTACAGCACAAGCTCTGGAAGTCCAGGAAATAGATAAATTAATTCACTTACTGACTGGTCTGGTCCATCCCCTCCGAGTACACGGAAGCCAAACCCAGACTCCTGTTTTCGCAAGAAAACATCCAAGTCCTTTGTGTTTGGAGCTAGTACAGACAAAGGAATATGAAGAGTACATAGTAAGTTACATTTGACCATTGGAAAGATTATTACAGTGTTTATATCTTTGTTTAGTCAGCGCAGTTGTGCAACCAATTCTAAGCTTGTAGATCTCCGTTGACAAGAACAAGAACGAAGTGGTCAGATTGTTCCAGTAAGAAATGTCACAAAGTCCTCAGTGAAATTATCTTCTTAGCATGTGGAGTGAAGAGTGTGTCCAAAACCAGCTGCAGATGTCTGTCAGTAACACCATTTCACAGAGACTAAAACACCTTCTACCATTGTGTTTGTATGAGTTGGGATTAAGGTGCAATATATAATTGCTACAAATAGGGCCACTTTCACAATGCTGAAAACAAATTACCAATCAAATCAGCAGGGAGGAAGAATTTAATCAGAAAAGTGTGATTGGCAATTGGGAATCATTTAAGAACACCTTACTAGAGACCCAAAGAACCACAATGCTACAACTGGGGAGGAAGACTGTGCTGGGTAAAAAGCTCACTTTGCTTAGAGGAGAAATAAAGGCAACTATAAAAATTAAATACATAAAAATTGGAAGAAAGGGGAAGTTGATAGTGAATATAAATTAGAAGTTAGATACTGTAGAAAAATGACAAGTGAAGCGAATGGGGGAGGCAACCTAGTGACAGATGATGTAGAAAAAGATAAGTACTCAATGCTTTTTTTGCCTCAGTCTTCAGAGATCAGGTCAGTTCCCAGTCTGCTGCACTGGGCAGCACAATACAGGGAGGAGGTGAGCAGCTCCTAGTGGTAAAAGAACAAGTTAAGGACTAATTAGGCACATTTACTGGGGGACTTTTACTGGGGAAGCAGCGACTCAAAAATATTTGGGGGTTATGGCAGAGCTGAACTTAAGTTCCTAGTGTGATGCTGTAGTCAAAAGGACTAATGCAATTCTCTGAGGAGAATCTTAAGTAGGAGCAGAGAGGTTATTCTGCCTCTGTAACTGGCATTCATGCAGCCACTGCTGGTACACTTATTCTGGTGCCCACATTTCAAGAAGGAGGTTGATGAATTGGAGAGGTTTCAGAGGAGCCATGAGAAGGGCTGAAGGATTAGAAAACCAGCCTTATAGACTCAAAGAGCTCAATATTTTAGTTTGCCAAAGAGAAGGTTAAGGAGTGACTTGAATACAGTTGATAAGTTTAATAATGAGCTCTTCAATCTCGTAGAGAAAGGTATGATATGAACCAATGGCTGGAAGTGGACATGAGACAAATTTAGACTAAACATAAGGCATACACTTTTAATGATGAGAGTAATTAACGATTGGAACAATTTACCAGGGGTCATGGTAAATTCTTCTAACTGAAAATTGTTAAATCAAGACGGAATATTTTTCTAATAGATCTCTGTTCTAGGAATTACTTTGTAGGGATATTACATTTTGACTAATTGAATAGTTGATGCAATTTGCATCAACTATTCAATAGGGCACCTCAGCCCAGGGCTGCTACTACACGTCAAAGGCGAGAGCGCTGCGGGGAGCACAGGGCGTTTCAAAAGTGGCAGTTGCCACGTGGAGCCTGGGGTCAGCTGGGCCCCCCCCTTCCCTCACCTCCCCCGCTGATCCCGGGCTCTATGAGGCACTGATGCTTTGAAATACTGCGGGGAGCCCAGTGTCAGGCTCCATGAGGCGTTTCAAAGGGCAGTGTTGTGTGGAGCCCAGGGTCTGGTCCCAGGATCCTAAGCATCAAGGTCGTGTGAAGTACCCCTACCTCCCGCCCCCAACCTTGCTGCCTCTTTCTGATAGAGGTAGCAAGCGGGAGGGGGGGAGCGACTAGTCATTCACATCCCTATTACTTGTGTTATACAGAGGGTCAGAGTAGGGTCACAATAGTCTCTTCTGGCCTTGGACTCTATCAATCTACAGTTCATCTCAGACAGGACTATACCTGACAGACAGTTCAACTATCTAGTTTACTTCAGCTGCTTTGAATTAGAACATCTTAGCATTTGGCAAGAACTCTTTGAATTACAAAATATTGTGCAGCAAAAACTGTGCAATTTCCACCACTCATTTCAAATACAATAAAATATGAGTTCATATATGACTTGTACTTTCCTGTTCTACTTTCCAATTAAGTCTTGCTAACTAACCCACCATATGTTAAATTATGCATTTGCCTCCATTTTAATTTTGTTTGTACTCTGCTCTATGGTTTGCAATCTATGGTTCAATTATTAAATAACAGGACACTTTTTTGAAATTAGAAATTGTAGCTTCATTATGTAATAATTGCATATAAGCCTGTGTGTGTCCAAAATAAATCCAAAGTTCAATTAAGCATTTCTTCAGAATGTCTTACAGAATACCTTTGCAGGGCTGGTACTATCCAATTATCAAAGCTCATATTTGCAAAATTATGGAGTGCTGGTGGGGTGAATGGAAATACAAAAGGAATAAAACCTTGAAGACAGTTATGTAATATTAATGAGGTCACTGTTGGAGAGCCTGATTGCTGATTTCCAATTGCATGTATGAAACTGATTACTGGGTAATAAGTGTTACGGAGGGAAAAGGTTAAGGTTAATTTTCTCTCAAGTCAGATGTACTGAAATGAAGAAAAAGGAAGCAGCATTTGACTGGGATACCAGGTTAAGATAAAGTACAGATGTGCCATACTCCACACCACCTGCTTAGGAAAAAGAACCCATGCTTGCTTTTCCTGTGCCTGCAAATTTACTGCTTTATCCAGAAATAATCTTTTAGACAAACAGCACAAAGCCAACTAAGATCATATTTACAGAACTTCTGTTGAATGCCATATAATTAAATTTAATGGCTGAAACACTGCACTGGGAGATTGCAGCACCGGAAGAAGTTCAGAAAAGTGCAACAAAAATTATTAGGGGTTTGGAACGGCTGCCACAGGAGGAGAGATAAATAAGACTCTGACTTTTCAGCTTGGAAAAGAGATGACTAAGGGGTGATATGACAGAAATATATAGAAGTCATGACAGGTATGGAAAAAGTGAATAAAGTTGAGTTATAACTTACCATAATACAAAAACTAGGGGTCACCAAATAAAAGGTATCTGGTTTTAAACAAACAAAAAGAAGTATTTCTTCACATAATTCACAGTCCACCTGTGGAACTCCTTGCCAGAGACTATTGTGTAAAGTCCAAGACTATAACAGGGTTCAAAAAAGAGCTGGGTAAATTCACAGAAGGTAAGTCCATTAATGGCTATTAGCCAGGATGGGCAGGGATGGTGTCCCTAGCCTCCGTCAGAAGCTGGGAATGGGAGATGGGATGGATCACTTGTTGATTCCCTGTTCTGATCATTCCCTCTGGGGCACCTGGCGTTCTTAAGTTCATGTTTGTTTACAGTGGTAAATCCACAGGCAACAAGCCCTTTGTGTTCTTGGTGATATTGCTAGGCATCCCTTGCAGTTATGCAACTTTATTTTCATGTTGCAGCCCATTAGCTGAGACTTTAATCCGCACCCGCTCTTTCAGGAGGTGTTTATTTTATATGGCACGTCTGGCATATCAAATGGCTTTGGTTTATCCAGTGTAGACTATTACATTTAAACTCATAGTTAGGCAGCCATCCTGGATGTGCATCTGTTTTCAAACACCATTTGTAAATCTTTGCTAGCAAACAGACTAGGATAGACATAGTAATACAAATGTAGCCGTGTTAGTCTGGTGTAGCTGAAGCAAAATACAGCTGGAGTTTGTTTAATATAGGAAAAAAAGTTAGAATTGATTCAGGTCTGCCCTTTTGAGAGCAGAAAATGCCCCAGAGGGTTCAATAGTTTTAGCCAGACCCACTTCTCCTCAGATCAAATAGTGGAAGAAAATAGTCACAACCATATATACCAAAGGATACAATGTGTCCAGATCATAAAGATGTCATCGATGTAGCGTAAGTAGAGAAGGGGCAAAAGGGGACGGGAGTTGAGGAAACGTTGTTCTAGGTCAGCCATGCCCCACAGTATGCTAACATCTTTATGGCTGACCTAGAACAATGTTTCCTCAACTCCCATCCCCTTTTAGCCCTTCTCTACTTACGCTACATCGATGACATCTTTATGATCTGGACACATTGTATCCTTTGGTATATATGGTTGTGACTATTTTCTTCCACTATTTGATCTGAGGAGAAGTGGGTCTGGCTAAAACTATTGAACCCTCTGGGGCATTTTCTGCTCTCAAAAGGGCAGACCTGAATCAATTCTAACTTTTTTTCCTATATTAAACAAACTCCAGCTGTATTTTGCTTCAGCTACACCAGACTAACACGGCTACATTTGTATTACTATGTCTATCCTAGTCTGTTTGCTAGCAAAGATTTACAAATGGTGTTTGAAAACAGATGCACATCCAGGATGGCTGCCTAACTATGAGTTTAAATGTAATAGTCTACACTGGATAAACCAAAGCCATTTGATATGCCAGACGTGCCATATAAAATAAACACCTCCTGAAAGAGCGGGTGCGGATTAAAGTCTCAGCTAATGGGCTGCAACATGAAAATAAAGTTGCATAACTGCAAGGGATGCCTAGCAATATCACCAAGAACACAAAGGGCTTGTTGCCTGTGGATTTACCACTGTAAACAAACATGAACTTAAGAACGCCAGGTGCCCCAGAGGTAATGATCAGAACAGGGAATCAACAAGTGATCCATCCCATCTCCCATTCCCAGCTTCTGACGGAGGCTAGGGACACCATCCCTGCCCATCCTGGCTAATAGCCATTAATGGACTTACCTTCTGTGAATTTACCCAGCTCTTTTTTGAACCCTGTTATAGTCTTGGACTTTACACAATAGTCTCTGGCAAGGAGTTCCACAGGTGGACTGTGAATTATGTGAAGAAATACTTCTTTTTGTTTGTTTAAAACCAGATACCTTTTATTTGGTGACCCCTAGTTTTTGTATTATGGTAAGTTATAACTCAACTTTATTCACTTTTTCCATACCTGTCATGACTTCTATATATTTCTGTCATATCACCCCTTAGTCATCTCTTTTCCAAGCTGAAAAGTCAGAGTCTTATTTATCTCAGCAGTGGTGTCCTCTGGGATAGTGTTTCTAATTGCTTGTAATCCGTCTTCATGTGGGATGTTGGTGTATAGTGCTTAATATCATTAACTCACAGACATTTACCTTCCTCCTCCCTCCCCCCGCATCCCCCTTCTGTTCTGAAATTTGATTTGTCCTTTTCATATGTGTTCATTTTTTTTAATTGTATCTTTTGGTATATATGGTTGTGACTATTTTCTTCCACTATTTGATCTGAGGAAGTGGGTCTGGCCCACGAAAGCTCATCATCTAATAAACCATCTTGTTAGTCTTTAAAGTGCTACATAGTCCTATATTTTGCTTTAGGATAGACATGTAAAACAGACAGACTGCTGAGCTGTGGTTTCCAATAGAATCATTAGCTAGGAGATAAGCACAGAAGACTGTGGTCATTTTACCTCTTTACATTCTTTCTAAATACGCTCTGCGAAGAACCAAGTCTTAAGACTTGTTTAGGAGTGGACATGCATGAAGGAAACACGGAACACATCCTGCTGTGCTACCCCAGCATAAGAGGTTCGTGTACTTACGCTTGTCTTCAAATATTGTCTTAGACTTTAGATAGACTTCTGAAGGGTCTAGTTTTGGAGAGCCTGACCTCACAGCAGCAGGTGGGAATGGCATAGGCTGCGGAATGGAATCACTGATAGCCTCTATGCTTCCTGAATTTTCCTGCTTATCCGTTTTCTGAAACAAAAAAAAAAAACAAAAAAAAATAATGCAGTCTAAGGAAAGTAAGCTGAATTCAATAAACTGGCTTTAAAAAAAAGTAAAACAGCAAACTTGTAACGCATGGCATGCAACAGCAGAATTTATACAAGCGTTAATTGGCACACAACTGAATCCAATAAAAACGACTCAACATATGCAGAGTATAAGGTTTTTAATCTTCTCTGTTAAGTTGGTGATAAGATTGTGGCGCACTCAGAATCTTTTAGGCTGGCATTTTCCAAACACTGCTGTACATGGGCTGCAGAGAGCTGGCTGGTCCCCTGGTGCTGGTTCCCTAATACCAAACTGCCTAATTGCATCAGAAAGCTAAAAATGAAGTTCTTCTCCAATGTCAGTTTTCCATTTATGCACTTGCTGCATTTATCATCAGAATATTATGCAAACATGAATTGTAGAAGAGGGAACTATGCAATTGTGAATGGGAAAGGTAGTGACCAGAAGATGCTATTAAAATGTGTTCCATGCTATGAAAAAGTTTAAGTCCATAGCTTACACTGCCTCAGACAATCAGTATATATTACTCTGACTATAAACTTTTTAATGTAGTCCTTGAACATAACTGTTGGTTGATAGCTTTTAAAATGAAATGCAGGGAGATGTGACTATAAAAAGGCAATCTTCTTCTGAAAAGTCTTCGAGAAAGTCACTGAACTATGTTAATTTCATTTGTTCCATCTGAAGGTGGAACTCATCTTCAAGTATTCCGTACTAGGTTTATTTGGCAATTACATATGAAAAGAAGTTGACTAGGGCTATGTCTAGTCAACACCTTTTTTTTTTTTTTTTTTGAAAAAAGGTATGAAAAATGCACTCTGCAATTTGTGTACCTTTTTCCACTTTTTTTTTCGGAAGAGGCTTTTCCAAAATTTGGCCCATCTACACTAGGCCAAATTTCAGAAAAACCCCTCTTTCGGAAGATCCCTTCTTCCTTGTGGAACAAGGAACACAGGGCTTCCAAAAGAGTGCGTCTGCTCTTCTGCTTTTTTTTGAGGAACAGCAAACGTGTTCGCTGGATGTGGCGGAGTTTTTTCGGGATACCTCTGGTATCCTGAAAAAATCCCACAGTCTATACGTACTTTATGTATCCTGAAATCTTGCACCCTGTTAAGCAGGTGCTACTTTTCCACCAGCACAGGGGTAAGAAATTCTGCAGCTATTTCTGACTTACCTTCTAGAAGATAATGGCAATTGAGCACTTTTTACACTAACTTAATCACACCAGAAAGCGAGGGATCAGTGAACACAAGAAAAACATTTTGTTTGTTGAAGTCAGGTTTCCTAGAGAAGTGGCTGTTCAGCATTTTTAACTTTGTAATGAACTGGAATTGACCAAACTGCTGTAGTCAAATAAAGATAAATAAAGACACACAGTAGTAGATTGAGGCCCTTCTTCTGAAACATCCGAGCTATGAAGTTTCAGTGGAGGAAACAACTATCTACCCATGTTTTAGAATCTGAATCGAAAAGAGCCCTGAGATACAGCAGGAAACCAAGGGATAAGTTTAATGTTGCCATGTTGATTTTCTGATGTCTGATTTCTTGCTAATGGTCTCTGCTAAATTAGTGCTCACAATGTCATTCACTTGCAGCACACTGGAAGTTCTTAAATCTAGAACTCTACTGTAGTTTCTGTGCAGAAACTCAGTACTGGTTATTGCAGAACTACGGTTTTGCTCTTGAGTGCAAGCCAGGTTCTGCTAGTTTGTCCCTCTAATGAGTCCTGTAAACAAACCCCTCATCCTCAGAAGGAAATCTCCCTGAGTAAGAGGGAAATTATTCAGGAAGAATAAAAGAAAGTTAAAAAAATTTTAAAAAATGAAAAGTCTAGTAGCACCTTAAAGGCTAACAAAACATGTAGATGGTACAGTAAAACTCTGATGGTCCAGCATCTGATGGTCCGGCACTCCTGATGGTCCGGCACCATCAGGAACCCGGAAGTGCTCCGGGCAGCCAGACCATTGGAGCTGCTCTGCCCCTAGCTTCCCCTATTCAGCCGCTGCTAAAACTGACCAGCGGCTGAATCGGGGGCGCCTAGGGGAGGGCAACCG